TATCTAATGATTAATTGAAAAAAAACTGTTCTCTTATCAATCAAGATGTGCAGGAGTGCTTAAAGATCAGCTCTTTGCTGTAATCGGGGGGAATCCCTTATACCAGGAAGACTAAATGCCCTTGGTTTATGATAACCAATAAGAATTTTGTATTCAAAAATCTGAAAGAATTAAGCTGGAAATGAGAGAAGCTGAGTTATGGATAATTTTTAGCTAATCAGAGTTGTCAAAAATTGTATCTTCTCGCTATTCGTTGAGCGTTTCAATAGAAAACCGAAAACAAATCGACAGACTGAAATAAAAACTTTCTCCCGGCGGACTGTTTGCTTTAGGCGAATCGGAGCGCTTTTAAATGAACCATTCGTGCCTCAGATCTGCCAGCTCGCAACATTTATCAGCTAAACTTCTGCTCGGACAGTTTTTTCGCTCTTTACACATATACGCAACTTCTTCCAAACTTTTGAATTTTGATTGATTGATAAAGTACCGTGAATAAGAAGTTTTTCACGGGTGCGGCTTTGACAAAGATTTTCAAATTTCTTATAAATCAGCCGTTTAGAGTTTTTGAGTTCTTTCTGAAACCCCAAAATTACCACACTCGCCAGTTTTGTTGCTTTGCAGGCATTTTTTTTCGATGGAATTTTTGACCAAAAAAATGAGTTTATGAGCGCACTCCCCTGTCAAAGTTAGTCATTTTTGGTGATTTTTGTGATTCTTGGGTCATTGAGGGACTAACTGGTCTGCCTGAAAAGGTTATCGTAAACTGGTCCCAAAAGATGACCCTTCGGAAAACAAAACAGCCAAGACTTAGTACGACTTGCCAATTTTTTGGTTCAAATAATCGCTTGTTACGAATTGTCTCTTGTTACGAACTTTCGCTAGCTATGGATTGTCAGCTGTTACAAATTGTTGCTCAAACCACCCTATTACATGATTAGCGTAAAAAAGGTCTCTTTCAATATTTTTTCTACTTTTGTTTCATATATTGTTGAAAGCTCATAAAATGTGATTTATATGTTGATCTAGCTGCAATCAATTATTTCTTCACGCTTCTGCTAGCGCCTACCCGCGCCGAAAACAAGTTAAAAAATATTCAAAAACGTATTTTTTTTGCATTTTTGCTTAGAGTTGCTTTTCAATTTGCTTAACTTCGTCTAAAAAGTCAATAATGAGTAAAAAATGATATTGCTTGAAAAAGTCACAACAGTTGTTTCTCCTTAACAAATAGTTTGAAAAGCTTTTTGCGCTCTGTTTCAGCAATACATGCTCTAAATATATTATTATATCTAATACTGGGCATGTTCCTGCCATCGTGTCATACATTTATTATAGTAGCCTTTAAGCTGACTAGATTTTATGACCAGCCGTTCCATGTTAAAATTCGACCTTTTCCATTTGAGGAAAGCTAAGTAAACAAGACAAAATGCAATTGAATTTACATTTATAACTTTTAATTTACCAGAGTTTGAGTTAGTAGAACTGGCAGGCGCGTGGCTAGTGTATTGCTGTTGTTGTTGTTGCTGCTGCTGTTGTTGTTGTTGTCTATTGTGAGTGCCTCCCCCATGAGTGGTGTCGGGGAGACTGAGTTGGAAAATGAGCCCCCCACTTGTCCCCACCATCAGTTGGTCTCCGTAAGTGGCACAATGAGTCACACAGATGTTCTCGTCTTCTTCTGCAAATCACAAAAACCAGTTTCAACAAAAACTAGTGCCGCTAAAAAACCTTTGTCCTTATATTTCCTATTTTTATCGAGGCAAAATAAAAAACACCGCAAATTTTTTTCTCTGGCGTTATCAAATTGTCTAGAATGGATTACTTTATTTACTTTTATTACCTTATATTTACTTTTTCAACTGCCGTACACCCAGGCGCGGATCTAGGATTTGCTTGAGGGCAAAGTTATTAATAAAAAGAAATTTCGATATATCCCCACCACAAAAATCGAATATACTGGCACCAACAATTTAGCGATACTAGACCTAAAGCGGATGACAACAAATGGTACCGAAAGGGGACCCTTTGGGTGGTCAGAAATTCAAATCCTTGAGGAGAATAAACTCTCCCCATCTACCATTGAAACGGTTGGTGGAATTGTTAAACACTTAGAGAAATTTTTGTTTGGATGCATTCCTTGGCGAGTTTTTCCTCAAAAAAAAATATCACGATCATCGTCGTTACAAAAACATTCTCTTTAAAAACAGTTCTTGAATCCCCTAAATGTGCCATTGCGTATACTTTTGACAGTGGCGATGCATTTTGGATCCTTTTTTTTCCAGGTTTTGTGGCCAGTTAATGAGGGTACTAAAATAGAGTTCCTAAGTGAGTTTTTTGGCTTCATAATTCTTGGTAAAAAAGTAGTCAAAAAATATGTTGATTCCTTTTTTTCCAAATTTTGGTTTAGACAGGGGGCATTTGGAACAAAACTGTCAAATTATAAGCCGAAGAGAAAAATTTTCAAAATACTATTTTTTTTATGTATTGTTTACTGTGATTACATGCCGGTATTTTTTTCAACTGACGAAAAATCACAAAAAAGGGACTACATAGTGTACCAAGACGTGAAAAGAGCGTTGAATTCAGGTTTTTTTCTTCTCAGGATTGTTAAAGTAAAAATAAATACCACAAATAATGGTTACTTTGAGGCAATTGACATACATTCAATAAAATTCCTTTCAAACAGTAATTCAATTGACAAAAGTTTTTTGTTTTGTGTTGTTTTAATTTGTGAAGAAGGAACGGTTTTCTTGATATTTGTCGAGTTGTAACTAACTAATTGGGGCATGATGTTACATGGTTGATACTGCAGTCGTAGTTGTTACTCGCAATATTATGAAAAAATAAGAGGTCATGCGTCTTGTGATTGAACAAGAGCGGCACTAATTTGATTTTTTTGAAGTCTACGTTTCTACGAGGTTGTTGAACAACTGAGGATTCATCTACTCGCTGTGTTTTGTACGTCTTCAATTGCCGTATCTAGTACTTCAGGGTGCAGTACCTCCAAGGCGAAGAGTGCGAGATGAGCAGGTGGCTCGAATGGATCTTGAGTCTTGAGAGGGAAAGGGGGGCTTGAGCGTGGATCCGGGTGAAACTTGGATTCACGAAAAAGAAGTTTTAACAAAGCAAATATTGTTATTAATATACTATATTTATTATATAAATCAAAATGCTGCATGACAATTTCCTGGTTGAATAGGACAAAAGAAATTTTAAATGATTGGCTTGGAAAGCAAGAATTCAAGGGTGCAGGTGTGTGCAGATTTTGATTGCTGTTTAGCGATAGTGTGAAAATTTTACATGGCTGTGAATTTTGGGGTGTAGATAAGCTTAAGTCTGCTGCAAACTTCTGTAAATGACCACTGGCACTGTATCTTGAGTAACACTCGGTTTTCTGGGATTCACTGGCAGAAGACAGCACGCGATGAGGACATCGATCTCGAGTCCGGGGAGTATGTGCCAGTCGGTCATATTCGGAAGTTTGACCTTGAGAGAAGAAAAAAACACTTGATTCGTGAATTTCATTTCCAGTTCCAACAGTTTGGTTTTTTTAGAGTCAAAAGTTTAAAGTTCAATCGCTCAAAAAATTCTCCCAGAACTGGTAGAAGTGAAATTGGTCTATAGTCTGATGGGTCATCGATTTAGGTCAATGATGGGTCATCAGATCTTTTTTCGTCGCGCAAAGTCAATCCGTACCCATTTGAGTCACTATGGTCGCATACTCGTTTGGTGTTGCAGGGGTCGCGAAAAAACGCCCGACTTCTGATCGGGAGCCTAGTAAGAAAAATCGACAATAAATTTAATAGAGGGACAAACTCTGCTGATATATCAAAATAGGACCAAATCTGCCAATGGATTCATAAGACAAAATCTGTCGTCAAGAGGAAACCTGTTTGCACCAAAAACTAGCACGAAAAAACCAGATGCAAAAGTTTAGCTTAACAAAAACAGCTTCCATAAACCTTAAAAACCATCAGAAATCTCCTAGTTTATGCGATTGTTCAGAAAAAACAAGCATATATGTAACAGAAAATAAATTGAAGATTTGAATTTAATCTGATATACATTTTGATTGAAATAAATTAGCTCAAAAATTGATATCGAAGGTTGATTGCAGTGAATTAAAATCTACAATTGCACTGAAATTGGAACATTTAAACAAAAAACGTAAGACAGGATACGAATAAGGGGTTCAACAACACACTAAATTCTCTTTTTAGTGTTTTCCGTATCAAATTGGTAATTTTCATCAATAATTAATTATCATCAATTTCTTGAAAATTGTGCCAGTCGGTCATAATCGGAAGTTTGACCTTGAGAGAAGAAAAAAACACTTGATTTTGGAGTGAAATTTAGTTTTTCAAAATTTCGAATGGAACCTGTCATGCACGATTTTCTCGCGATAACTGAAAATCAGAAAAAGAGAAGTCAGAACAATCGAGTAACAATCGCGGGAAAGTTGCTAAATAAAACGGTGGGAAATTGCTATTCGCAATTTCTGTCACAATAGAACAAGAGTAGAGCTGTCCCATCTAAAACAGAGACGAGAGCATTCCCACGAACTGGATTGTTGTGATTGGAGTACTATTATTAACTGGACCAGAGTGAACCTTCGGTGGAAAGGTGGACAGCTAGAGTGTCCCAATGGTTCACGAGAACTTACAGTCTAGAGAAAAAACTTGTTCTTATTATTAAAACTGACTAACATTAAACTCATTTTAGTTACTTTATTAATTCTTGAGTTGCTTACCGACTTATTTACTTCCTGGTTCTTGAGCGTGCTACAATGTGAGTACTTAATTTAAATTCCTAGAGTGTGTTTTATAATTGTTATGTTGAGGTAAGGCGAGTTTTAGGTTGATCCATCTGAAATGGATCAAAGTTCCACTGTCTAATAAAAAGTAACTTAACGGATTGTTCCAACCCGGTTTTTAACGGCGTTCATGTATTTTGGGTATCTAGAGACCTAAGTATGGGGACGTTTCTAATTCTAGAGTGGGGGGATATTTTAGTAGTAGCCTTTAAGCTGTAACGGGTCGTAGTCTCATGTCACAAACGAACCGAACTGGCTCCGACCGTTCTTGAGGTAGAAAAACACAAGAGATGGTGTCCCTGACCCTTGAGCCAGTGGTTATAGGGCCTATTTTTCTTAAGCCTCATGTGTGACTGCAGTAGACGAATGTTACAAATATTGTTTGAGTAGATTTTAAGGATTCAGTTTTCTTGGGATTCGTTTTCACTGGAATAGAAGTACATTATATATTGTGTCAGAACCACTCTCAGATGAAGCATTGTAAGCACTATTGGATGACGAAGACTGCATCGTGTCGTCTATGCCTCGACCAATCAGAAGCAAGTACGACTTATTCAACGTCATTGTAGAAGTAAAAGTTCTTGCCACACTCTGCATTCGGTTTTTGTTACGTAATGAGGAACTGTTCGCTAGACCTCGGCCTAGAGGCGTAGCCGAGTTGCTTCCGACAGCGGCGCCATTGTTTCCCGAATTTCGCAGAGGTCGTCGGGGAAATCCGAAGTCAAAGTCACTTTTTCTCTTCACTTGGGATTGATACGTGAAAGGGTGTATGAACTTCACCTGAAATGATTGAGGGTTCAATTTACATTGGCAAAATGACGAGCTGGATGTGATATTAAAAAAACAAGTAAATGTGATTCTCAAAGACATGATAGGACAATACAATCTCCATGATATAACTCAAAATTTATGAACCGTAGGACAGAATAAATACCTGTTAATTGTCAATTGCATCGCTGAAATAACATCTTCGCGAATTTTAATCTGGAAGCTAAGACCTTCAGAAAGATCGAAGGTGAATTCCCATAGGTTCCAATATTCATAGGTTCCAAAATAAAAAATCAGTCGCATAAGTTCCAAAATTTATCTTCTTGAATTCTGATTGGTTGAAATTTGAGCCAACGAATTTATGGATTAATTGTTTACTGTTCAACCAGCATAAACTCAAGCTGCAGAACAGTGACTGCCGCAGCCGCGCCAACGTGTTGCGAGCTTGCCACCAAAGGGTAGGATTCTATACGAAATTTAGAGCCGGTTATTGCCGCGAAGCCCACCGGCAACCTTAAGCCGAGACTCGGCTAATTTAGTCTTTTGACCGATTGAAAAGATTTGGAACTTATGCGACTGCTTTTTTATTTTGGAACCTTTGGGACTGATTTTTTATTTTGGAACCTATGAATACGCACCAGATCGAAAAACACCAACAACTTTGCCGCTTGATTCAGCTATTTCGGTGGCGTACCTCACGCTTGAAGGACCGAATGCTTGAAATCAATTTTAGCTTCCTTTGAGCCAATCAGAATTGAGTATTCAAAATATCAAAGTAAATCGCAAAAATCACAAAGTAAGAAAATAAATCCAGGCAGTTAAGGTTAATACTGACCGATTAGATAATAAGCAGATGAGTTTTCAAATATTACCGGATCGAAGGTGGATTGGAACAAATTTAATATTTCAAAGATACCGATTTATGAAAAATGGAAAAACAAACAAAAAATAAAATTTATTAGATCTGCACGAATTGTACAGCTTAAAACATTTTCTGTTTTTTTTTACTTCGATTTTGTGGGAAAGGCATTTAGCCAATAAGTACGCTTAGAAATTTTGATTTGTTGAAATTTTTCAAGCATTCGGTCCTTCAAGCATGAGAACCCTCTCCGCTATTTCGAACTTACAGAAAACTTAAGATATTGATTGGTTGGTCGGTCAACATATGATCAAAAGGCCGTTATTCATCCAACATTTTCGTTATAATTTTGTGATTAGCAAGAGTATTAAAACTATTACTAGAATTTTCTCATTAGGAAACTTCGTTCGCAGAACTCTTCTCGGCTTAACTTTCTAGCATATATTAAGGGGCTAGGTCTTTTACCAGACCTACTTTTTACCAGACCGACCTTTTACCAGAACAAAATGCATTAATTCAATTGAAATAAATTAAATTAGTGGAAAATTTGAAACGGAAGCGGTTACATCAAACAAAACTTCGCTGAGAAACCGTGAAAACATTGTCTTTAACCGGACTAAACGGCGTCATTACATCTGTCAATCAAATTTGTTTATCGAGTCTGGTAAAAGGTCTATGTTGGTCTTGGTAAAAGGTCGGTCCCCATATATTAAGTTCCAGTTACAAACATTGATCCTATGGCGCAAAGTAAACGTCTAAGCTTTGGAGGTGAAAACTCACTGGTTCGAGCTCGGCTAGGAACTATAATTTTGCAAATTGATGTAATTACCGTTTTTGACATGTAAATGTTGCAAAAAAGGTTTATAAATTTAATTTTTGTCCGAATTGTTTTGTTTTATTTCTAGTTTGCGTCAATTAAACAATATCGGCGTCTGGTCTGCTCAAATCGATTTCCCGTGTTGACTTCGATACACAAGAAAGCGTATCACACAATTTCATGCAATTAAAAGGCTTGTCACAAAATTCCATACATGGAAGGGGTAAAAAACGCATATCATAAAATTTCCTGTATGAAAACATCATGATGAGCAATTTTTTTTAAGATGACTAGAACAATTTTCCGAAAAGTTCCAAAATTTTGGGTGAATTTTTAAAATAGCAAAATCACTTTACGCTGAAGCAAACATTCACCGAAAAAAAAATTGCATGCGATTTTGTGTATAACGTACTCCAGGCTGAAATTTTGTACAACTGAATTAAAAGTGACTATGAATTTTTGGGTGAATCGCAGTTAAACAATTTTCATGTTTTTTAATAATAAGATATTTTTTATTCAGTCAAAATATAGGCCACAATTTGAAACCACCAAATTTTTTGGAGTAAATTTTTTTTCTAGCCATATACAGAAAGTTATGGTTTCTAGTTACAATTCTGAGTGAAATTTGATTCATTAATATTCTTGGCAAATCTACAAGTGCAGTTCATTTAATTCATTAAAAATCTTGGAAAAACTACAAATGCAGGTGACTTGTGTGATTCTTACCTTTTAAGATACGGGTTTTCATGCGTAACAGAAAACGATGGTTATTGTGTTTTTGGACTAAACACATGAAACAAAACGAAAATCGATTTTTTGTTTCATAGAAACGTGCTTGTCAAAAATTTGCTGATATAGAAAAATCGTTATGATAAAAAATCGATGAAAAAAATGCTGGTCGTACTGTTTTCATACAATTATTTGTACATACGGAATTGTAAAAAGTTGCTTAGTTAACACTTTTCCAGATATGAAATTTGTATGGCAAGAATTTTGGCCAACCCGGCTCGTTTGAAGAGGCGATTTTGTTCGATGGGTGTTTGGTTTAGGATGAGGAGCTAAATACTTGAAACTCGAGTAAGCTATTTTTTCGTGAACTTATTTTCAACGCTATTTGACGCTAGCAAATATTTTCTTGACGTGTTTATAGATTTACTAAGATTTTAGTTAATCCAGTTTCACTTTTTTGTCAATTTTTTTTGACTTTGTAGCCAATTTTATCGTCTAACTTGCCATTCTATGCATTCGGTTAGGTAGTTTGAAAAATGGTCATGTGGCTTTTTGTCATTTTAGTCAAAGAAAAGTATTATGTAAGCTCAATGAACTTTCTTGTAACGTTAGGATTCTTGTTTAGAACATAGATATTTTTTGAAAATTCCAACGGGTTGAAATAACTATGTGCTGATTGAGTAGCTTTTGAATCAAATGGCTAGAGTTGCCACGAAATCTCATTTAACTCATTCTAGAGAAAAATTAAAATTATCCCAACGTGAGCATTTTTTTTGCATTGAATAATAACAACTGCCATTTCTTTTTGTTTTTAGAGATGAAAACAGCGTAAAACTTTGTTTTTCGATCCTTAGTTTTGAGAGGAAATTACAATTGTTTTTATATTATGAAATTTTTCTAACGAAAAATTTCAATTAATTCACGAAAGCTAAAAAAAAAATTGTTGAAATTTTCTGTACATTTTTCATATTTTGAGTATCCAACAGAAAAACAAATCACCTCAAAAACCTCTAAGTTTCAATAAACATATAATCTTGATTTTTTCCGTTAAAACCAACCCAGCCCGAGAAAACTCGACCGAGTTGCGATATATTTAAATTGGATCTTAATTTAGAACTGCAAGTCATTTATTCAGCGTGCCTATTTGTAATTAAACAAATGATTTTAAAGCGAATCATAAAAAAAATCAGAAATCAGTTAGCTTGAATAAAAATTTAAGCCTGAGAAAAATTTTAGACGTTTCTGAAACAATACAAAAAGCAATCACATATATGTCTCAACTTTTTGAGTTTTTGAGGTCAGCTTCTTTTTTGAATTATTTTACCAGATGCAGTTGATTATTTTCACAAGTCTTTAGCTTGTGCAGATATGAATGAAGTTTCAAATAGTACAGAACTTTTGAAAAAGCTTAAGACTTTTGGGCAAAAAGTCATCTGCTCAAATTACTCGGCTCGTTTTTCTGCTAACTCTTAGCAGGAAATTGTCTGATGCTCAAAAACGTAACAAAAAGCTCAAAATGACTTGAAAAGCAAATTTTTCTTTCCAAGCGACAGCCAGGTATCATTCAATGCAAGCATATCTTTTGATCACATGTTTAATGAAGTCCTTTAACTTAACGGATTTTCGAAAAATACAACGTTTCTAAAGTTTTAAAGTTGTCCTTTTTGATGTTGTTTTCCTCTTCGTTTTTGATTTTGTCGCAGGATCCTTTTGAATCATTTCAATTTTTGCAATTTTCTCTGATAAACATTTCCGTTACTTTTTCAAAAACCGTAACTCAATGAGAACTATTCAATAGTAGTTAATTTTACATGGCATATTTTTGAGTTTCAAGTGGCGATAAGCCTCGCGCCTTGCTTCGCCTGCGTGTTGAAGCTGATCACGTTTATTCCCGAGAGAACAGTCTTACTTTTTTTCGCTTTTTGAGGCTATGTGTCTGTGCACGCGTGTCCGCATGTGTAGGGGGGGGGGGGTCGAAATTCATCTATAAATTAAAAAGGCCATACCGGTCCAATATGTCTGATAGGCAGTATGGCGATGTTGACGGAGTTTCTTCTCAGTCCAGCCGTCCCCCCAGCACCACCACTCCCACTTGGACATCCCGGGGGGTTCCCCACAGTGCCCGCACCACCTAACAGACAAAAAGAGCAAATAATTCAGTTTGATCGGAGGCTATTCTCATGCGCGAAAACTGTCGGATCGGAGGCTATTCTCATGGCGAAAACTCTCAAACCAATCCTGTCCGAAATGGGAACCGGCTTACTAGCATACGCAACTTATTCCCATATCGGACAGTTTGAAAAGAGCTGATTGGTTCAATAATTAAATTTTCGCGCATTCGACCCTTATATCATCGTGGGTGTGGCCTCTTGCATGCGAGCCGCTTAACATGTGCAATAGTGAGTTTAAGCCAGAGGTAGCTTTCTCATAGAGTAATTTCAGATAAGGTACGCCGTCTGTTCGTCACGCTGTCTTATTTTCGGCCGGATAGATTCGTGCAACTTCTTAGTCTAATAACAATCTTAATCTTACTCTTATATCTCCTAGTCTCAATAGATCTAGTGTTTACTGGTATTCGCGCGTTAGTCTTTGAGCTTGTCCCAAAGGCGAACAACTGTAGTCTATGATTTATTCAAATTGTTCTGGTGCTGAAATTTCAAGTAGTTTCAGCACTTACAAATAATTGCCAGTGTTAGTAGTGGAATATGATTGGTTAGTTAGTAATGGGGGTTAAGAAATTAGACGACAAGCAAATTAGACGGAGGTACTGAAAACGAAATTAGACGGTTTTGTAAAACTGCAATTGTGAGAAAATAGACGAAAGTGAGAGAGATTAAAATTGTTTGCAGACAAACTGCGTGAGAAAAGTAATATTGTTTGCAGACAGTTAAATTTCGGTAGCCAAAAATGCAAAATTTCAAAAAAGTTTCATCGAAATATCGAGGTGGACAAAATCTTAATACCGACGAAGGTTATAGATTTAAAAAAGATAGCAAAACCAAATTTGGTTGTCCTTATTGCTGTGTTATCTCCAATTGCTTCGGAAGATTAATGACAAATTTAGAAATTACAAAAATTATTCGAAAATCAGGCAACCACAGTCACGAACCCGACCTTTTGTACAACGACGAAGAAAATTTTCGCCAAAATATTCTGACCAAAATCTAAAATGATCCGACAAAATCGGTGAAAAATGATTTACGACGAGCAAGTTAAACTGAATCCGGAAATCGGAAATCCACCGGAGTTTCACAAAATTAGCAGCGGGATACTAAAAAACGAACTCGAATTTCGCCAAAACTTCCGATAATTTTACAGAATGGGAAAATAGATGGTATGTGAAGTAAAACGAGCGATAATCAAGATTTTGTGTTACATCAAGATGTTGGATTAGTGCTTTTTTGTTCGCTAAAAAATCTGCAATTTTTGCAAAACCCAAAAAATTTTATAAATTGGATGAAACAAAATTGTTTCATCAAATTTATACAATATCCAGTGTAGTGCAAGATCAAAAAATCCGTCACTTTAGGCTCTGATGTCCGAAAAAACAGAGGAAGCTTACCAAAGTTTGTTGGAAAAAATTGACGAAAAATGTCAAGTTTTTTTGTCGAAAATTTTTGAACCAGGTTTTATTATATCCGATTACGAGACGGGTTTCATCGCCGCAGTGAAAAAATTGATGCCACAAGTCGATCAATTGGGCTGTAATTTTCATTATACTCAAGCAGTTTTCCGAAAAAATCAAATTTTTGGTCTTATTATTGCCTACAGGAATAATGGTCCATTTCAGCTAACTTTTCTCAAAATTTTCAGCCTAGGATTTTTATCAATCGACCAGGTGATTACAAATTTTGACAATTTAAATCAATCTGGTATATGCCGAAGACTGAAGATTTTCTTCCCAAAAATCGAAATTTTGTCAATTATGTAAAAAAAACATGGATCCAAAAAACTGGAGTTTTTATGTGGAACGTTTATGATAGACCACAAAATCTCGGAACAACAAACGCCTGGTAATCATGGCATGCTTCCTGGAACAGAAAATTTGGAAGAAACCACCCATTTTTATGGGTAGTTGTGGAAAAATTGAAAAAACAGGAAAAAATCACAAAAAAATGTATACTCGAAACTTTCGAAAGGTGAACCTCCACCTCCACAGAAAAAAAAAGTGGCGTTTGCTTAATGCTAAAATCCAGCGATTGAAAAACAATTGAGCGGAGAATATTATCAGTTGGGACATTTATTGGAACAATCTAGGCGTTATTTGCCGAAATTTGTTTTTAAAAAAATGAACGTAAATTTTACATGTCAGTTATGCATAATAATTTATTCAATTCAAAACTCTTCTGTAATTTTCGGATTTGACGTTTTATGTTCATTTAAGTTAATTGTTTTGATAGGTAATGTCATTTTATATTCTTTTTGTATTCGTGAAACTTGACTTTTAAGAAAAAATTTTGTTGGCCCTTTCCTTTTCATAGCAGCGACGTCTAAAATGCCAGATCTCTGAAATAAAATACCGTCTAACTGCCTTTTTGTACAATCCGTCTAATTTGCTTATCGTCTAGGCCCCGTTAGTAATATTTTATCGAGATAGTTTTATAATATAATTGGTTTATAACTACAAGTCCAGAACTGGTTCCAATAGAGTTACAAGTGAGTTTGCTTGATTGCAAATGTGACAAAACAAACTCAATTCTAATTGCGCATGCTAATATACTAAGATCTCTACAATGAGAAAAGACCCTAACTCCCCCTGTAGTTTTTTTATCTAATGATTAATTGAAAAAAAACTGTTCTCTTATCAATCAAGATGTGCAGGAGTGCTTAAAGATCAGCTCTTTGCTGTAATCGGGGGGAATCCCTTATACCAGGAAGACTAAATGCCCTTGGTTTATGATAACCAATAAGAATTTTGTATTCAAAAATCTGAAAGAATTAAGCTGGAAATGAGAGAAGCTGAGTTATGGATAATTTTTAGCTAATCAGAGTTGTCAAAAATTGTATCTTCTCGCTATTCGTTGAGCGTTTCAATAGAAAACCGAAAACAAATCGACAGACTGAAATAAAAACTTTCTCCCGGCGGACTGTTTGCTTTAGGCGAATCGGAGCGCTTTTAAATGAACCATTCGTGCCTCAGATCTGCCAGCTCGCAACATTTATCAGCTAAACTTCTGCTCGGACAGTTTTTTCGCTCTTTACACATATACGCAACTTCTTCCAAACTTTTGAATTTTGATTGATTGATAAAGTACCGTGAATAAGAAGTTTTTCACGGGTGCGGCTTTGACAAAGATTTTCAAATTTCTTATAAATCAGCCGTTTAGAGTTTTTGAGTTCTTTCTGAAACCCCAAAATTACCACACTCGCCAGTTTTGTTGCTTTGCAGGCATTTTTTTTCGATGGAATTTTTGACCAAAAAAATGAGTTTATGAGCGCACTCCCCTGTCAAAGTTAGTCATTTTTGGTGATTTTTGTGATTCTTGGGTCATTGAGGGACTAACTGGTCTGCCTGAAAAGGTTATCGTAAACTGGTCCCAAAAGATGACCCTTCGGAAAACAAAACAGCCAAGACTTAGTACGACTTGCCAATTTTTTGGTTCAAATAATCGCTTGTTACGAATTGTCTCTTGTTACGAACTTTCGCTAGCTATGGATTGTCAGCTGTTACAAATTGTTGCTCAAACCACCCTATTACATGATTAGCGTAAAAAAGGTCTCTTTCAATATTTTTTCTACTTTTGTTTCATATATTGTTGAAAGCTCATAAAATGTGATTTATATGTTGATCTAGCTGCAATCAATTATTTCTTCACGCTTCTGCTAGCGCCTACCCGCGCCGAAAACAAGTTAAAAAATATTCAAAAACGTATTTTTTTTGCATTTTTGCTTAGAGTTGCTTTTCAATTTGCTTAACTTCGTCTAAAAAGTCAATAATGAGTAAAAAATGATATTGCTTGAAAAAGTCACAACAGTTGTTTCTCCTTAACAAATAGTTTGAAAAGCTTTTTGCGCTCTGTTTCAGCAATACATGCTCTAAATATATTATTATATCTAATACTGGGCATGTTCCTGCCATCGTGTCATACATTTATTATAGTAGCCTTTAAGCTGACTAGATTTTATGACCAGCCGTTCCATGTTAAAATTCGACCTTTTCCATTTGAGGAAAGCTAAGTAAACAAGACAAAATGCAATTGAATTTACATTTATAACTTTTAATTTACCAGAGTTTGAGTTAGTAGAACTGGCAGGCGCGTGGCTAGTGTATTGCTGTTGTTGTTGTTGCTGCTGCTGTTGTTGTTGTTGTCTATTGTGAGTGCCTCCCCCATGAGTGGTGTCGGGGAGACTGAGTTGGAAAATGAGCCCCCCACTTGTCCCCACCATCAGTTGGTCTCCGTAAGTGGCACAATGAGTCACACAGATGTTCTCGTCTTCTTCTGCAAATCACAAAAACCAGTTTCAACAAAAACTAGTGCCGCTAAAAAACCTTTGTCCTTATATTTCCTATTTTTATCGAGGCAAAATAAAAAACACCGCAAATTTTTTTCTCTGGCGTTATCAAATTGTCTAGAATGGATTACTTTATTTACTTTTATTACCTTATATTTACTTTTTCAACTGCCGTACACCCAGGCGCGGATCTAGGATTTGCTTGAGGGCAAAGTTATTAATAAAAAGAAATTTCGATATATCCCCACCACAAAAATCGAATATACTGGCACCAACAATTTAGCGATACTAGACCTAAAGCGGATGACAACAAATGGTACCGAAAGGGGACCCTTTGGGTGGTCAGAAATTCAAATCCTTGAGGAGAATAAACTCTCCCCATCTACCATTGAAACGGTTGGTGGAATTGTTAAACACTTAGAGAAATTTTTGTTTGGATGCATTCCTTGGCGAGTTTTTCCTCAAAAAAATATCGCGATCATCTTCGTTACAAAAACATTCTCTTTAAAAACAGTTCTTGAACCCCCTAAATGTGCCATTGCGTATACTTTTGACAGTGGCGATGCATTTTGGATTCTTTTTTTCCAGGTTTTGTGGCCAGTTAATGAGGGTACTAAAATAGAGTTCGTAAGTGAGTTTTTTTGGCTTCATAATTCTTGGTAAAAAAGTAGTCAAAAAATATGTTGATTCCTTTTTTCTAAATTTTGGTTTAGACAGGGGGCATTTGGAACAAAACTGTCAAATTATAAGCCGAAGAGAAAACTTTTCAAAATACTATTTTTTTATGTATTGTTTACTGTGATTATATGCCGGTATTTTTTCAACTGGCGAAAAGTAACGAAAAAGGGACTAAATAGTGTACCAAGACGTGAAAAGAGCGTTGAATTCAGGTTTTTTTTCTTCTCAGAATTTTTAAAGTAAAAATAAATACCACAAATAATGGTTACTTTGAGGCAATTGACATACCCGCATCCAGTTTCAAGCGTTAATAATCGATTATATTACGATTTTAAAACCAGTCTCACTAAAATTGAGAAACAATAGATTTTAATCAATTAATCATCGATTATAATCTCTTTTTTTTTCAAATCAAATTATAATTAATTATAATCCATTATAATCGATTATTTATTCGTCTATTTTTCCATACAATTATAATCGATTATAATTGATTATAATCCATTATTTTTATTCAAAATTCTTTTTCGTTAGTTTTGCACAAAAATCCATTATAATCGATTATAATTGATTATAATCCCTTTTTTTGTCCATTTTTGTCTTCGAAGTTGCATATAAATTGCTTATATTTTATGCTTTTTGTGGACGTTGGTTCCTATGAAAAATGAGAAAAAATTTTTCAAAATTTTCCATTTAATTCATATTTATAAGTTTTTTTCCATTTCTTCCCCATTAGAGTTGTTTTGTGATGCATATTTTAAGCTTTTATAAACACCAAAACATCAGCAAATTGATTTAGTTTCATGATTGATTCGGAAAAATTATCTTTCATCTACCGCGAGAAACTTTCCAGTCATATGAAAGGATCTCTGTGAAACTTTTGTTTCGTGGTAAAACTTTGTGTTCAGATGAACCAAAGTGTTCAAGAGATCTCTCTTTTAGAGATTTTCTCATTGACACAAAAAAAACCCATAAGATACAATTCGAAAATAGAAAAATTCCGGCAAAATAAGAGATTATAATCGATTATAATTGATTTTAAGGGTTTTTAGTAAGAACTATAATCAATTATAATCGATTATAAGAGATTATAATCTCTTGGAAAATATCACGATTATAATCAATTATAAATCCCTTAAGGACCTAATTTTGGTAATTGTAATCGATTATAATTGTCAAAAAATCATCAAAATAATCCGTTATAATCGATTACTTACGCCTAAACTTGGATGCGGGTACATTCAAAAAAATTCCTTTCAAACAGTAATTCAATTGACAAAAGTTTTTTGTTTTGTGTTGTTTTAATTTGTGAAGAAGGAACGGTTTTCTTGATATTTGTCGAGTTGTAACTAACTAATTGGGGCATGATGTTACATGGTTGATACTGCAGTCGTAGTTGTTACTCGCAATATTATGAAAAAATAAGAGGTCATGCGTCTTGTGATTGAACAAGAGCGGCACTAATTTGATTTTTTTGAAGTCTACGTTTCTACGAGGTTGTTGAACAACTGAGGATTCATCTACTCGCTTTGTTTTGTACGTCTTCAATTGATTTGAGCTCTGTTTTGTTTAGTTTCAATGTCAAATTGAGGACTCTGATAACATTTTGGTGTTTGCCTGGAAAAAGGCATAGTTTTTTTGGGTTACATTTTAGCGTTCTTGCGAAAATTAAACTATGCCGCAGACCAATAAAAAGCAAAAGTTTATTTAACACAAACTTTGGAAAATTACCGCAACGAATACATCGATATAAAACTTTCGGGATAAAATTTTTTAAAAAAACGCTCAAGGTTTGAGCGGTTGTTACAAGGTTCTGAGCAGTTTTGAACGGTTTTGAACAATTTGATTGTTTCTTGCATGGATTTGAGCTGTTTTTGAGCGGTTTGAGCGCAATTGTAAAAAAAAACACTCAAACCGCTGAAATATTGAACTGCTTTTGAGCGTGATCTCGACTAGGGGAGTGAGAATTATGAGAATGGTTGAGTACAAGTAGCTACCTAGGCTGAAAGATCCGTCGTCCAATTGGACAGTGGTGAGGTTGAGACTTCCGGTGGGTGTGAAGTGAGTGAGGTTGTAGAAGTGCACAGTGGGGTTGAATTCACACACGACTATGAGGAGATTGTTGCGTCTGATCATGCTCCGAACACATGTCAAGTTAGAAGGCATGTTCTTGTCCACCACTTGGATGCGACGCTACAATACAAACACTTCTCATTTTAGTCAAAATTAATCAAAATAAAAAAAATGTTTTACATCTTATGATAATGAAGGGTTTTCACGCAGAAAATATCCAGAAGTTATCTCTGTAAATGTCACTTAAACAAATTTAGTACAGCATGGAAAATCAACATTAAAACTACAGATCTGTTGTCAGGTGTCTGTTCACGCTTTTTTTACAAACCCGCCCCTCCCTTCATTCAGTTTTTTATATTGTTAACATTGTTCGCGTTGTTCAGTTCCTCTTGAAAGAGGGTTAATTAACTAATTGCAAATACATTTGGTTCTCAACTGAACTTCAACTTCGTAAAACCAATGGTGTTACCGTAAATGTATGTTTATCTGGTTGGGGATGGTAAAATATCCTAGCTTACTAACGACCTGTTGCTATTTTTATTTTAAAGAAACTACGGCACAAAAAGTTTTGCCAAAACGTATTCTAGAGTTTTAACAGAGCTCGAAAATTGGATATGGTTGAATGGAAAAAGGTCGACAAAGTTTTAATCGTGCAACCTCCCCCAGCACCACGCGGTAAAAAGTTCCTGCAAACCCACCATTCCAGTTTCAATTTAAAGTCAAGTGTATAGGTCAGCCATTTTCACTTCTTCTTTCGACTTATGCTACACTACAATTGATCTCAATTACACTATTACACTGTTTCAATCTAAAATACTGTTCGCAACTAAAATGCATGAAATGATTTTAATATTTCATTATTTTTAAAAGTTTTTTTTCTGCTGTTTCAAGTGGCCTAAATTTAATTAATGTCTCGAACATGAAACAAAGTGTAATTGCTCTGACCAGTTCAGTGAGTGTTTGTACATTGACTATGATTATGTGATCTCCTGAGGCGACGATTAGTTTGTCCCCTGCGGCCACTAAGACACTCTTGATGGCCGAGTTGGACACCCGACAACTGTCCGACACACTCAAACGCATCCCTGAAAAAAAGCAGACTCGTTTTCATTAGAAAAATTACTTAAAGACCATTTATTCACGATGGAAAGAACCAGCATACCAGCTTTACAGCTCATCACGGCGAACCGCTGTTGTGCCACAGCTTAAAATTTAGATGCAATTTTTTTGTTGCTATTTTTTATGGGACTGGGTAATGCTGTCTCACCCTCAAGCAACGAGCACGGATCATGGTGGGCTTCGAACATCCGACTTTTGGATTGAGAGACGCGGCGTAACCACTTCACCACTAGAATTTTCATTGCATTTACCGAAACTATAAATTTACTTCATTTAAAAAAAATTCCACCTTTTTAAACTCAAGCCAGCGGGAAAAACATGAGCTCAAAAACCAATTTGAAGAGATGAATTCTTTTTGAGCCAACCGCAAAAGATCCAGTACAAAAGACATTAATCATGCATCATAACTAGACGTTATATACATCAATCGGTTTTTTTAAGGCTATAGATGCCAGTTTAGAGCTTCGTATAGAATTGCGATTTAGAATTTCGAGTTCAACTAAAAATTAAACTTTTGTTTCGCAAATTTTTGATTGGTATCAATCAATCCGAGCTTCTATTTCTTTTTTTGACACGATTTTTGTAATGCGACAACTTGCAACAAAAGACAACTCTCATTAAAAGACAACTCGCAATATAATCACCGCCGCAGTCGCGCCAACGTGTTGCGAGCTTCCCGCATTGGAGATCTATGAATAAAAACTGATCATAATTGAGTTTCCTTGTCAGTATCCACAAAAGTGAAAACAAATCGATTATATTCAATTAGAAATGGATTATAATATTACTATTTTTAGAGGCAACAAAATCCTTTGGGGGTGAAGGTTTTGTTTAGGTGGGGGGGGGGCGGTGTTTTTAGATGGGGGTGTTCCGGTGTGGAGGTTTTTCAGATGGAAGGGGGTGTTCAGGTGGGGGGGGGGGTTCAGTGGGGTTGGGGTGGGGTCGGGGTGGGTTCAGGTGGGAGAGGGGTCGGGTTCAAATGGGTTGGGGGGGGGGGGTGTTCAGGTGGGGATATAATCGAATTTTTTTTCACTTTTCTTGCCAATGCGGGTTGCCAACAGAGGGTAGGACTTTAAAAAAAATTTAGAGCGGGTTATCGCCGCCGAGTTTTCTCAAAATACATTAGGAAGATTGAGCTCACCTCAGCTTACATTGGAATGACTTGTGAACAGTCTAGTCTGTAAACCCGGATTTTGCCGGCCTTTTTTTCCAAGCTTTCCAAAAATACTGTAAGGACCCCGTTCTATGAAAACTTTTCTGCGCTGCAAATTGATTTTTTAAAAAACAGGCTAAAATGACATTTTGAGCACTTTGTTCAGAAAATTGACCAAAAAATTGCGTTTTTTCGGCGTGCGCTCCCCCTCAAGTTTAGTTAAATTGGCGCGAAAGTTTTTGATATTGGCCAACCAAAATTGGATCTCGGAAAAATTTGGCAGCCAGAATTGAGGGGGAGGGAGGATGTGAGCGGTCACCACCCCCTCGGCACGCTGCTGTGCTCAATTTATGTCCCTGGACAGCACGGGAAAAAGCAAAAATAAAAAAAAATAGTAAAAAAATAATCCAAATTACAATTTTTAAAATGACTGAAAAAATTAAGTAACATAATGCATGAGAAATAGTACAACCCTATAAATCGACAAAAAAGATGGAAACAATTCACAATTTTAGTTCATCAAAGGCTTAATCATGAATTACTTGTTGCCGCTTCGGTTTTTCATTGAATTTCGGAGTTTTGACTCCGTCAATTTGCTCATTCAATCGAACTCGCATTTTCCTCCTAATTTTGTTTTAGATTCCGCTTTTAGGAAGTCAAGAGGAAACATTGATTGACTTCAGATGACAATGAGGGGCTTAAGTGCGACCTTCATAACGTCATAAGTTATTTATTTAATTATAATTGGTAAACAAAAACAAATATTATTTTGATTATTCTAAATTTTTCATTTGGAAAACGTGCGTTTCCGCCCTTGGAACGCGCTTATTATTTATATGGCTTCACTGCAAAACATACTTAAGATAATTGATGCAACTTTATCTGATAAAAATTAAAGGTTTCAAAAAAAGATAAGCAGCAAGTATACTCCTCTGCCCTCAATTTAAATTGGAATGACTATGACTTGTGAACAGTGCATAAAACAGTGCCTTTTTGCTTCAATAGCCTCCATTTTTTTTGTTTTTTTTTGCTCAGTTTTCAAGTGCAAAAACTTAGACATGGGGCAGATCTAGAGTTTTCTCGGGGGGGGGGGGGGGGGGTTTCAAAAAGTAAAAAATGAAGCTTTCTGGGGGCAACCGCCTAGCGGGCTGTGTGTATGTATGCGTAGCTAAGATTGCTTCCTTCTTCCACGAACGCTACTTGGTTGTCTTCGCATGTAAAGCTGTTTTTGCCCAAAAAATTGTATCTTTAAAGATCTTGCAAAAAAAAGGTTATCTTTAAAGGAGGTTATCTTGCAAGATCTTGCAAGAATCTTGCAAGATCTTTTAAAGAGATGCATCCTCTTTAAAAGAATCTTGCAAGATTCTTGCAAGATCTTGCAAGATAACCTCCCATGATCGAATAGGGTGGAGTCTTTGGGTAGTCAGGGGACCGACGCCCGAAGACTAAATTTCCTCTTGTGAAAATGGTAGCTTATTTGCGGCTTGCTAGCTCTTTGATTTGCGGGCCAATATTTTACCGGAGGCTTTGTCGAAACTCGTGATGACGCCGTCTGACCTCCCGCAGAACACTTTGTTAGCACCTGAGCATAGACACGTGATCTCCACTTGCTGTCCCCTCCCCCCGTCCGAAGAGTGGCTCCTGTCATGGCGGTGGCACTCGACGAAGTCGTTGCAGGCCTCGTTCAGTTGATAAGTGAACACTTCTTCTAGATTGAAGTACTCGCCGTCGTCCAGGGCACCAAGAGTACGCACTCTAAAACATTAAGGCTACATAAAGACATTTAACAGCTCTTTTTAATTCAATCTTTCTTTTAATTGTTTCTTAATTTCTAATAAAGAAAGCCTTATTAAAATGACTTTATCTTTAAACTGTAATACAGCAAGTCAGCTTGAAAAAGTTGACAAAATATAACAAGCTTTTTTATGTGTAATTGAACAATGTTGGGCGAAAGCGTTGCATCCACAGAGTTCATGAGAACTTCCACAGAATCGGATATCCTGCATTGACAAAATCGAATTAAGATAATTTTTTATCGAGTCAAGATTTAGATAGACAAAGATGCAAGACACTAAAAGCCATAAAAATCTCTACAGAAACTATTTGAATCCATTTTTTGGGTCGTGAAATTCTACCCTTATTCAATTTTCAAGTTCCATATATTATTTAGCTTTGCTCCAATTGCTGAGCCACAAATTGCGCTCATAAAAAATCTGTCAGAGTTACAAAGATTTTTAGTCACTTGAAAAGTTTTGTTCGTTTCATTCGTTTCCAGAGGATACCTTAGAGATTTTAAAAATCAACGTGTTTTGCGCATTTTTCTCAAGCGAATCAACAAAAAAAACGAAAACTCAATTGACAATTATTAAGTTTGCTCCTAAAAATTACAGGTTGATAGTCTAGTTTTGCTTCAGGTCAACTATCAGAGTTAACTTTGGGTCATTTGCGATACATAACAAACATAAAAAAACACCAGATGTTGAAAAAAAAAATGAAAAAAAAATGTTGAAACATTCTAGGTCTACCAAAACTTGAACTTTGTATGCCTCTCTAATCTTTCGTTTAGGCAAACATACCAGACATTTCAACTTTAAATAAGCGGCGGAACAAGTCTTAAATAAGCGTGGGAACTAAAGTCCCGCAAATCAATTTCTACTGAATAAAAATTTCAAATGCAGTTTTACTGAAAAAAAACAAAGTTCAGTGCGACTCGAAACCCTGACTTAGAGCACAAAGGCAACGGCGTTACTTCCAGGCCAAGTAGAAACGAATTTAGAAATTGCTCAGCTTCAAAAATAAAGCAGGTAAAAAAGCAATTGACATTGCTTACCTGTTCGCAATTACAAGACACTTGCTCTCGCGAGTGTAACAAATTAACTGATTAGCCTTCTTGATAAATTTTTCTACAATTGACTCCTGACAATTGAGACAAGAACGAGTCAAAACATTTGTAATCATTTAGAATGAAGATTTAGTAAAAGAAAATTTAACCTCTTAAACCTAGCTAACTGACAGTTGTAAAAAAGCAATGAACACAGGTAGTGAAAAAAATTATATAAAACATTCCCTTAAAGCTCTTTGAAGTTCATGAACAATTTATGTTTTACTTTTTTGTACCATAATTAACCCAATTTAAGACAACTGGATGAAAAAGTATAACTTTTATTTCGCTGATTAATCTGATAATTTTCTTTCCATTTTGATATTAGAATTCAATCAAATTTTTTGTGTCTAAAGTTTTACTAATGAACTAAAGTTTCACCTTTTGATCGACCTAAATAAACAGCATAAGTAAAGTTGCGAAAAAATACATTTGAACCTGAACAATTATAAATGCGTTTCTCGAAAAAAAACGAAAAAATCACCGCGATCTATATGAGAGTCTGATTTAAATTAATCGACTCTTAGCTATGCTTCATAAAAAAACATAATATAAAAACATATATAAGAGTACTCACTACATTCAAAACCCTCATTTTTAAAATCTACATAGTCTTGTGATACCAAAATTGCTCTCGATTCAATATTCATTCTGTTTTTATATTAAAATTATTCTTAAGCCATTTTTTGTTGTGAGAGATACAGTCTTACTTAAATCTATATATACTAAATGTGTATTTTTTTACTCAGTAACTTGTAGTTTTTGACAACTTCTGCATTTCGAAATGCAACGTTTAACCTTTTTTGAGGTGTATTTTAGATTACAATTTGCCCAATTTTTTGACGAAAGCAAGGTTTTCAAAATAAGGGGACTTGCAGTTACTAAAAAAACGACTGCTTCCAATATCTCTCTTCATCTCCAATGTAATCGTAAATATTTTCTATGTTTTTATTTTTTAGTTTTGCTGCATCAAATGATTGTTTCACGTGACTAACTTTGCGTCTGCAGTGCATATGCAGAGGAAGAAGTTGACAGCTGAGGGGGTCTCCTCCTCGATGCTGCTGCCGGCTGAGAAGCTGCCCTGGTTGAAACTAGTACTACCCCCCTCGTCAAACGATCCATCCGGCACATCTATTCCAAAAAACACACGTTAAAAAATTTAGACTCTTTGGAACCCCCCCCCCCCCACCCCCCCCCCCCCCCCCTCATGAAAAAGGAGGAAATTATTTTCACCTGGTAAAATTTTACCACATGCTTAATTGAATTAGCGCTGTAAAGGAACTGCAACTCTAAAAGGAAAAATTTTCAACTAAATCGTAAGTGATGCGATAATACATTCATGCCATGCATAGGGGTTATTACTGCGATTTGAGTTATGCAGTAACATTCTAATTTTGTACAGATGTATTTAAAAGGGTTCAAGTTTTTTTTTGTTCAAATAAGATGTATTCGAATTTTTTTGAGCAAAAAACCAGATAATTTGCATAAAATTAGTTTTGATCGTATTCAATGAAACGGACAGATTAGGTTGTTACGGAACCCAAAATGACCTACCGGTGCTCTCTTCTGTGCTGTAGAAGCTGGATGACTGCTGATTATGTCGCGAGTAGTTCATATGTTGTGCCCTTCTTCTCGGCATCGAAGAGCCATAGGCAGTCGGGGCACAACTGCTGTCGTTACTACTCTGCTGATTAATCATGCCTGTAGTCGTGGCCGAATTCAGCGGGAAGTTGTCGGGGAAGAAAGCGCCGGAGGAGTTGTTTCGGGTGGCTCCCACTCGGGTCGGGGTGTTTGGGCGAACGTAGCTGGCGCCGACCGAGTGGCTCTCGCGGGCTAGTCGTCTGTGTCGTGGCGAGTAGTGTTCGTAAGTGATGAAGTCTTCGCCCTCACTCGAATCTGAGTCGAATGACATGACTGATATGCGTGGGTTTAGCTGAGGCGGCAGTTGCAGTGTATTCGGACTGAAATTGATAAGCTTAAACTCATCTATTAAAAATTTAAAACTAATTAAATAAAATTTTCAGAGAGCTATGGTCACGAACGTTTTGGTCTTGTTACCTATGAATCCTTTTTTGGAAGATGTCTATATTTATAGATGTAAAAATAAGGAGCAAAAACCGAAAACTTCGAAGATCCCTAATGTTTCACGCGAAACTTTTGAAAAAAAGTAATTTCAATTTAGTGAGATGATATGATTATAATCTGACTTGTGGCTGCTGATTTTGTTAGTGCTTCCACACCAGCTCTGAGACTCTGCCAGTCCCCTAGTGCCCCCACCCCCACCCCCACTCTCCAGTCTGTCCCCATTGGCTGTCAGCTGCTGCTGGGGGAGCTGTGACGTCATCCCTCCTCCTCCTCCTCCTCCCCCACAGGACAGTGTCATATCGGACCTGAAAAACAATCGATTACAAACACTCGAGGTTATATCTAATTGAAGCAAAAACATGTGATCGAATTTTTCAGTAAACTTAAATTTCCGACAAAAACCTCCAGATTAGTGAAAAATGTATAATTTTGAAAGCAGCAAAGATTAACTACAATCAATTAGTTAAAAGTATCAGAAAACTAACTTCGCTCTATTTGTCTCAGAATTTAAATTAAAACAGTCAAAGAGCTCAAAAAGCTAAACGGAGAAGCGTACGTGGTCCAAGTAAACAATCCCCCCCCCCCCCCCCCCCCCTAAATCACAGCAACTTCACATCTGAGAACTTTTTTCCGCTGACATCTGCTGCATTTTAAACCAGCTTTTCCTCAGATATTTTAGTAGTCTAGCTTAGTTTGAAGATTAAAAAACTAAAATCGTTATCAGATAGGAAATTATTTTTAGATGTGAAATCCACAAATCTAGTTTTTGTTCAGAACACAATGCTGAAAACACTCCCTAAAAGTGAAAATAAAAACAATCCGGCTGAACTTTTTTCAATGACACTAGATACGTGTGACCAATTTTTTTCCTCTCCCCCACTTTACATCATGAGCATCAATTTTACGGGGTAAAGGGGGGGGGGGAGGGAGGGGGTGTTTAAAAAGACCCCTAGATCCAATATCTGCGTTGATGTTACCTTGTGTTGTTCTGTTGTGTGCCGCTGACTCCCCTGTGATGATGATGATGGTGGTGGGGTCTGTGATCTCTGCTGCTGTTGGAGGGTGCAGTGGGAAGGGGTGGGGGCATGGCTGGCTCGGAGGATGAGACAGAGCAGTGCTGGATCACTATGGCGTCATTGATGATTCCGTCTGTGTAATAGACTCTGTTCAGCATCGGATTGTTCTGGTGGATATTTTGAAGCTGGAACAATTTTGAATAAAACTACTTGAATAAAACTCATTGAAACTAGTATGCAGAGAACTACATTTTTATCTTAAAACTATATTCTCAGATTTTTTAAAAAAATGCATATTATTCTTTTTCTCAAGACTGGATTTTATTAGTTTCATTTCGTTGTTCACATTGAATTTCCGCTAATGAAAACCTATATATGACAGATGAAACGCATCAAAATAATTCCACGTTTTTTGGTAATCGAATTTAACAATTTTGGCTCTGGAGTTTTGGCTAACAACAAACAAGAATTCAAGTACCGCATTACAATGCATCAAAAAAAAGCATGTAGTTCTTAAACAAGGGCACAACAGCGGTTCGCCGTGATGAGCTGTACAGCTCTTGTGTTGGTCCTTTCCCCCGTGGATAAATGGTCTTAAAAAAACATTTTGGACGTTTTACGATGCTAGTATCTGATTTACCTGTACAATGATGCTGTAAGTGTCATAGGAGGCGATGATGAAGACGAGTTGGCCGTCGTTGGCAGTGAGAACTTTGAACTTGTCTCTCAAATCGTCAATCTCCGCATCCAGCGCCAGGGGAATAGACTAAACACCAACAACAGTAAAAATCAAAGTTCCAAACAAGTTGAAGTCATTCCGGTATTCTGTAAGTTTTCGGTTAAGTACGTTTTTAACGGTAAAAAAAAAGAAAATTGAAAAAACTATAAATCGAATTTTCGTGATCGGTACATTCTGTGCTACCTGCAAAACGTCTCGCTACTCTTTTGACGTTATGAAACGTATGAAAATTTTGTTTCTGATGGCAAACTGAGTATTTTTGATTAGGGGGTTGACCGAAAAGGGTTATTACTAAAAATTTGATGTTAACTATATATTCCTTAATAAACTTAATTCAGCATTTATTTAATTGGCGTGATTGGTTGTGGAAAAAAAAGTTAGCATACCTTGACAAATTCGGGAACGACTAGGTGAGAGGAGGGTCCGACTTTGTTACTCAGTTCTGCAAACACACTCTCCCACTGGCTCCGAACCAAGGAGTTCTGGAACACCACGATCACAGTCTCCATTCCAGCTCTAGACGAAAAAAAAAGAGACACTTAGATGCCAGATCAACACCCAATCATAATCGACGATCAAATTTTTGCCAATCACAGTCTCATACGTTCTTCAAAAATTTTGAATATTTTTGAAATTTCGAATCAATTAAAACTGCATAAAAGAATTTTTCGTCACAGTAGGGTCAAGTAAGACGCAGGGCCCCAAAATTCAACAACAAAAATTTTTAATTAACCACGCAAAGTAATTCTTCATAAACAACTTTAGTGCTCGTGGAAATTTTTTTTCAATAAAGCAGCAAAACTAGTAGCTAATTCGAGCAACAACAGCCAACTGAAAAATGTAATGAACGTAAGGAAACAGAATTTTTGAAAAAAAAAATTAGCTGATTTTCAAAGATAACAAATGTATGCCATTAAAGCTCTTTGAATTTCACGAACAATTTTTGATATGTGCTTTTTAAATAAAAATAACCCAATTTGAGAAAACTGGATCAATAAGTAAGATTTTTATTTCGCTGGGAAATCCGCAAAATAAAGTTGATTTTCGAAACAAGAATTTGATCACGTTTTTCGTGACCTTTACATAATGCTCTTCGATAGTGGAGTTTGCCTTCATTTAAGAAATGCACTGAATTTAGCAAAGAAATCAAACGTCAAACCCCGAACAAGTAAATTTGAGCCTGATCAAATTTTAAGACTTTTCTTGAGCAAAAAATCATCACTAGGTTCAAGACTCTTAAAAATTGGTGTCTAAAGTGATGAGGTGGGTAGGGGGTCTCACGGAGTGTCGATGAGGATCTGGATCCTGGCGCTGGTGGCGTCCAGAGAGTAGAAGCTCTTCAGCTCCTGAAGCTGTCTGCTGATTTCACTCTGTGTCTTTCTCACCTGCGCCACCAGGCCCTGAAGAGAAAGAAACAACACAATAATTTAATTAGAAATAGTTTTAACTACAACCAAGTTTTAAAAGAGTTCGGTACTTGGAGATCTTTGCTGTGCTTACTAAAGCTGATGTGGTCTATATAAATGTTTAAAATAGCTATGGGCACAAGCTTTGGGTCCCCTTTCTTCAGCAATATAGGAGATAGTACAAGGGAAACGGGTGAATAATCACAATAAATTGCTTCCAAGTGAGGTCAATGAATAATCAAATGTAGAAACTTAGATTTGTTTAAATAAAAATGTTATTTGAGAGAGCACTATAATATTTTAATATATATAGCCTGTTTTCAGGCGTCTCAGAGCGAGAATCGTTAACCTTTTTCTTAAAAGTTCTTTTGGGTTTTCCTATGTGCGGCTTGTTGTTAAGAGATCAGATTAAATGGAATACTGCAGAAAAGAAGACTAGGAGCACCTCCTGTGGCATGTAGAGGGAGTCGGCGATGGTCATGATCTCGTTGAGTCGGCCGAGGTCCTGTTCCAGTCTCTGGATAGAGCTCTTGTCCTGCCTCACCTGCTGGCTATCACTCTCCGCTATCTCGCAGTCTCTGATCAGACACTTCCAACACACTCTGTACCGCATGAACGGGTCTATCCCAGACACTGATGCACTAAACACAGCAGGCACAGTTAGTGACGACATGCTTGAGACATATAATGAATGAGTATCGGAGGATCCCTTTTTCAATAAGACCCAGCTTGAGGTGTTCTAGTTATTTTTGGACCGACTCGACCCAAATACCGCATGAACGGGTCTATACCAGACGCTGACGCACTAAACACAACCAGAGAAATGCGATTAAAAACAGTTAATTTCTTAAATACCAACCTGTACAACAAAATTTTAATTGAGAACAAAAAGTTTTGATATTATTATTGAAACTAATTTGGGTGTCTATATGACAGACAACAAATGAGTGAACACTTTCATATAAATCCAGGGTCAGATCTAGGATTTTCTCAAGGGGACAATTTTCAAAAAAAATTGAAAATTTTGTCGACTTTTTTTAGGACCAAATTGACTTTCTGAGCCCTGTAAAGACCATTTTTTGACAAAATTTTGTGTGCCTCAGGCAAGTTTTTGAAAATAAGACAGGCCAAAAAAGCCGTTTTTGGGTGCTTTTGGAAAATGTTGACTGAAATCCGCGTTTTTTTTGGTGCGCGCTTCCCTCTCAAAATGAGTAAATACAGTACAGTGCTGATTTAAATTAACCGGATAAAACGCGTTAAACTTGAAATTTAAAACGCGTTTTTCTCAAATTGGGTTGAGTTTAGGTGAAAACTTATCGAGACAAAACTTGCTTAAAATTTTAGCAGAATTAATATGGTGTAATTTGTTTTGCGAAATTCGGGCCCAAAATTTTACCACAAAAATGGGTCATTTTGGTTTTTCTTATTTAATCAAAAATTACGCCAAAAAATACCCAGTTGATCACAGACATAATTATATCAACGTGAGCTCCTTACGTAGCCCAACAAACTTCAATAAGGGTATATTCTCCAAAACATTGTATAAGTTAATTTATTTTTGTTTGATAGAAAAAAAAGGTCGTTTTTACTAAGAAAAATACCAGCTAGTTATTTAAAAACAATTTTTAAACAATTTGCAAATTTTTTTGGAGAATACACGCTTCTTAATGTTTGTTGAACTACGTAAGGAGATCACTTTGAAATAATTATGTCTGTGATCGACTGGGTAATTTTTGAATAACTAAGAAAAACCAAAATGACCCATTTTTGGGGTAAAATTTTGTGCCCGAATTTCGCAAAACAAATTACACCATTTTATGAAAGTTTTGTCTTCATAAGTTTTCACCTAAACTCAACCCTATTAGAGAAAAACGCGTTTTAAATTTGAAGTTTAGCTCGTTTTGTCCGGTTAATTTAAATCGGCACTGTATTGAATATTGGCGCCAAAGGCGCCTTTAGAAAAATTTTAGTCCGTCAGCCAAAAATGGATATCAGCCAAAAATTTCGAAAATTCTGTTGACCTTTTTTTAGGTCAAACCAAATTGATTTTCGAGCTCTCTCAAAGCACTAAAAATTTGGCCCTGTGTTTTGGCCCTAATTTCTGCGCCGCAAGCAAAATTTTGAAAAAACAGGCCAACAAAAAGCGTTTTTAAGCCTTTTTTGAAAAATGTTGACCAAAAAATAGTGTTTTTTTTTGGCGCGCGCTTCCCCCTCAAAATTAATAAATGTTATGTTTGTCTCACAATAGTACAAAGGGGGAAACTTTGGGGTCGAGTCCTTTAGGAGGATGGGGGGTGGAGGGGGGTTAATAATTATTTTGGAAAAAGAAAAAAAAAGAGTAGGTATATGTCTTACAAACTGGATCCTCTTTTGGAGAGTGACCTCTTGGTCTTGGATGCCAGACACATGACTGCATCGTTGAACAGCAGCAGGATCCGATTTTTCTTCACCAACATATTCTTCTAAACAGTCCAGCAAAATTAAATCGTTTTTTTTTTAAAATTCTGAACAAACTCAGTAGCGGGTTTAGAGGGGGGGGGGGGGGGATGCTTTCCTTGTCAAGGATGCGACCCCTGACGACCCAAAGATTATATTTTAAGGCATAAATTTTTGGCTGACCAATTTTAAATTAGTTCTAGTGGCTCCTTAGGCGCCAATATATTTTAATTTTGAGGGGCGAGCGCGCCAAAAAAACGCAATTCAAAATTTTTCAAAAAATCGACAGACAATATAGATTTTTTTTTAAAGTTTGCCTCCCATTCAAATCAACCTATGACCAGAATTTATTTCTACAAAATGAATATTAGGTATGGTTAAGTTTTAAGGAAGTCGAACAAAAAAAATCGTATGAAGCTCTGACTTTTGTCGTCTTTTGTGCAAGTTAATTTAATTTGAATTTATAAAAATCAATAAATCAATTTCTAAAAAACGAAATTTGAGCGGTATTGAAATTTAGTTTTCCTGAAACTGAAACAAAAAAATCAACACGACTTCAACAAGTATCTTCAGTTTCTTCAAAACACTTAAAAAACCTGGCAATTTGAATTTTCAGGTTTGAAGGAAAAATTTACATTAATTCAAAGCTATTTGAATTGATATGGTTGAAGTTACTCAATTTGAGAAAACTGGAAGACAGTAATTTTTTATTGAGCTCTACAAACGGAAACTATTTTGGAAATATGAAGTCATCCGAGCCACCGAAACACCCATTTAAAACAACTTAACGATATAAAGCTATGAAACAAAGGTATTTTTGATGTCAGAGTAAATAGGTGAGGTTGCACAGGCGAAATGTCGTTTTTTAGAAAAAAATAGTTTGAAAATGCTCGAAAACATGTTTTTCGGTATATTTTCTAAAGCGCAACAGTTTTGGAATGAATCATGTGTATTTAGGTTTTTCAAGAAAGCGCAGGAAAAGCAGGAAATAAAAAAACTTGATGAAAACTGAAATGTTTGAATGAAAACCCGCCGTTGAAAAAATCGTAATTGAATGAAAAAAAATCCTAATTAAGCATTGACAAGCCGCGATAGACTTCAAGCCTTTAAAAAAATTGTATCCATGCTACTACATGGACCAATCTGCAAATCTGCTTACGTTTTCTCATTGAAATTGTTAAATACCAATTTGTCAACTGGTATCATTTTTTTCATAAAACATTTAAGAAAAGTACCAATGCTGCTAGTAGGGGAAATTTTCACGGCCGATTAACTGTTCTGCTCTTCACGGCCGTAAGCAAATAGTTAAAATTTGTATCGAAGCTGATTTTGTAGAAAACTTTTGACAACTGATTAGATTTTTTGCTTTTCAAGATCGATGATAAAAAGTTAAGAATGGTTGTATGCCATTGTAGAAAATATTGTCATGACCGACTATATTTTTTGTTATAAGCGACCGGTTGCTAGAAGTTTATCCCTGCTGCTATTTTAGAAAACTTTAAGCAACCGATTTTTACCGATTAATAGGTAAAATGTAGTGTATTTTTTTGATAACAAGTTTTCTTCACATAATTTTTCTTGTTTTGCAAAAAATATTGCAGTGTTCAAAACACGTTTTTTTTAATGATAGAAAAAAAACTCATTGCGATCTACTATCCTCGTTTAATACAATTCTCGGCATAAAAATAACCATTTTAAATATTTCATTTCTTTCAGAAGGACTGCAATTTCTGTTGAAAATTGAAGCAGAGTCTGAGTCTGTATTTTAGTCACCTATCGTAAACTGTTTTCGTATTTTCTTTGAATCATACAATTTTGTAATTTGGTTCTCGCTGGGACAAATGGATTGCCTTGTTTGCAATTAGACATACTATAACATCGTCTGCCATTTTGGGCAGTAAGCCCCATAGCATTCCAAATTTCAAAGTATTAAAAACACAGTGAGCCCGTAGTAAAAAAAACAGTAAGCCCCAGAGCATTTCAAACTTCAAAAAGGATAGGGTGACACAGAAGTAATCAGTTATCATTATAAAGTGTTCAAATCATGACAACTAATCATTAAAATGGTTTTTGTGGTGCCTTTTGCTGCGTAAGCAACAAATGAAAGAAAGCAAAAATTAAGATCATACCCGAAAACAAAATTTTTCCTGTTGCTGTGCAAGTATGTATCACAAAATGTTACGACCACCTTCATAAAAAAGAATACAAAAAATTATCCTTTTCTCAAATTAGGGTTTTTTTGTGCGTGGCGTGACGAAAAACTACACAAACGTGTAGAAAGGTAGAGCATCAGGAATAATTACAAAAGCTATCTTCAAAAAATTAATGACAAAAAATTGAAAAAATTTCGGCAAAAAAAAAGATTTCCCATATTTTTTGTTTTATATAATTTGCGCAATAAATTTTTTATATTTTTAGGACTGCTATTTTTGTTAATGATTGCGGTTTTTGTTCCGACTTTCCTAACGAAAGAAATGGAATATTTGTGCTCGGGTTGAGTTTTTTTCTTTCTTCAGACAAATTTCGACTTTTTAACTGGCCATTTTTGGTGGGATTTTTTTATCATTCAAAAGGTATTGTTGTCCTGGGCTTATATTTCAAAAGGTATTTCACCTGTGATCATTTTTCGTAAATTTATGGGGGTTCAAAGATTGCCATCTCGGCCGATTTGGGACAATTAACGCGCGATATATTTTGGCGTAAGCGGAGATTTAATCCGTCTTAGAAGTTGTTTAAAATTGGTTGAAGGAAGCTTATTTGCCTTAATTGATTTTTCACTAGGAACGAAGTCAATCACGTTTTTCTTCATATAGCGTGCTGGGGGATGATTTTCGCTAAAATTTCAAATTAGAAAAAAATATATACTTTTTTTACGTTTAACGTTTCTTGTTATGACTGCTCCATAGACTTTAAAAGGCAGTCGGAACATTTAGTGCTTCGCCCTGAAATCGAAAAAGTTTTTTTTTCAAATAAAAGTGGCAACAAATAGAATATCGGCCTATAAACAAAAGTTTTATTTGTTTCTTGAATCAGTAATTCTCTTATCAAGTAAGTTGCTTTAATCACTGCATGGTTTTTAATTTTGGAATTTGGAAAAATTTTGTTAAAATATGCATTGAACTACTTGGATTACTAAGTTGGCTAATTATGCAAGAATTGCTACTCGGATAGACGTACACGAAGAGATCCCTGAACAAACCAAAAGCGTTTGGTTGCTTTATGATAGTTTTTGTTTATCCAATTAATTAGTTTTGCATGTATCTCATCGCCAATAGACACGCCAATTGGCAAAAATGTTTTTCTGTCCACCACTCACTATAGCAATTTCATCAGTGGCATACGCAGAAAAGTTTTTAGAGGGGGCAGTTTTTCAAAAACTTTTGCCAACCTTTTTTTTTTAGGTCGAACAATTTAAATTTCCGAGCTCTCCGAAAATACTATACGGTCCATTTTCTGTCAAAAATTTTCTGCGCCGCAGGCGAAGTTAAAAAAAAACAGATTACAAAGGCGTTTTAAGGCCCTTTTTGGAAAATTTTGACAAAGAAATTGCGTTTTTTTTTCGGCGCGCATTTCGCCCTCATAATTAATCTTATTGTCGCCAAAGGTACCTTCAGAAAAATTTTGAGATTGGTTAGGAAAAATTGGAAAACTATACCAAAGAGGAGACCGGTTTGGAAAAATTTGGCAACAAGCAATGAGGGAAGGGCGGTTGCCCCCCCCCCCCTTTGGCACACTACTGAATATCATACAAAAAAAGCGAAAGTTACGAATCAGGAGTTACTATAAAGCTTCATAGCAAAATGTATGTCCTCCAATTGTACGATAATGAGAAAAAACAAGACTGCTCGTATATCAGGGCAAAGCCCTGAATGTTCTGACTGTCCCTTAATTCATATCGAATAGTTTTTGGGAAAAGAAAATATTGAAAGCCTATACATTTTGGACAATATCAAAGTGTAAAATTAAAATTTTGAGTCGTTCGAAATTAATACGACCAATTAGTTAGCCTCAATTCAACATGGAACGGTAGGTTGTGGGGGATAATTCGCCACGCATAAATAATTCGCGTTACGCTCTCAGCATTATAAATAAATTCTTCAAAGCGCGCATAATTTAGTCCAGAGTATGGCCAATTTGGCAATTTTCAAAACCCCAAAGTTTTACAAATGATGATCTGTGGTGAAATATCTTTTTACTTTTGAGCTCAAGAAATCAATATCTTCAATGGGGCATAAAAAAATTTTTCTTGAAAATTACTATTTCAATCGGCGAAAATTGACTGAATAAAAAATTCACACCGAGCATAAATATTCCGTTATCTTCGAAAGTCGCAACAATTATCACCAATAAACCAAATATACGGGTTAATAGACGCACGTGTTTAAATATGTACCCTTTTTGCGATATCATATAAAAATTGCGGAAGTTACAAATCACGAGCTGCTTCAAAATTTCATGATAATTTATGTCACAACTATTTATACTTTTTTATACATCAGTTATTGCCAATCGACTTGCTAATGGACACACAGGTTTATCAGTGTACTACTCGTGCGATATCAAATAGCAGTTGCGGAAGTTACAAAACAAGAGCTGCTTTAAAGTTTCATGGCACCGTGCAATTTTTTCAATTATACACTTTGATAAGTCTGTTATCGCCAAGAGTGATAAGTCTGTTATAAGCAAACACAAATGCTTATCGGCGTAATTGTGATATCACAAATAAAAAGCTGCTTTGAAGTTCCATTGATCCGAGTTTCGAAAAAAGTGACAAACAATTTGTGCTCTGATAAATTTTTCTCCGGAAGCAAATCAAAATGCTGACTAGAGTTGTTGGTTACTAGAGTTTTGCACTATCCAAAAATTCTTTTTGTCTAAAAAGGTAAGCAAAAAAACCATCTGCAAACGGTTGTGCTAAACTTTTGGGGAATTAGATTTAGGAATACTTTGACTATTATAACTCAGGACAAGTAACGAGCAATATACTTTGTCCGATTAAAACGTAATCGGCAAATTAAAACATCGCCAGCCGATAGTTGGAAAAGAGTAGTAAGTGCAAAGAATCAGAGAAAAAACTGACTTATTTTAAAAAAATAAATGCTTTTTACGCTCCTTGAATTTCATTAAAAAAATTTCAGCTGGTGTTTTTTGATACAAATGAACCCAATTTGTGAAAAATAGATCTGGATCAAAATAAAAGCTTTCAATTCCGCTCGGGAATCTGAACATTAAAGTCAAGTTTCGAAACAAGAAGTTGATTACGTTTTTGTGATTTTTGCACTTTTGCTTTTCAATAGTGGAGTTAACTATTCTTATTGGATAGAAATGAACTGAAGTTGAGCGTGAAAAAAAATTAATACTTTTCTGAAAAAAAGTTACCAAGAAATATATACTTAAAAGCTTTCCTTGCGTGATTACTTTCAATCAGTCGAATTTTGATTGAGGCAAATAATTGGATATTTTTGATCACTTACGAGACGCAGAATATATCACTTTTTAGTTTAAATGGTGCGTGGATAATAAAATTATTAATTAAACTGCATTTTTTTACCTATGTTTAACAAACTTTGAGATAAAAATGGTTTTGATTTACATTAAAGGACAGTCGAAACACTCAAGTTTTTGATCTTATGTCAGCAGTTTTGTTGTTGTTTTTTCTTTATTGTTCTGAACTGAGAAGAAATTGAAAAATATAAGCTTTTACGCGTATCTATGATGTCGAAAGCGTAACACAAATTTTTTTCTCACAACCAAAATTGTTCTGAATTGAACCCCGGCCACATAAGTTCCCATTTGTAACACCTAGTTGTTGATATTGGCGGTCCAAAAATTGTGTTTTGTTAAATTTTCTTCATCAGAAACCATTGGAGACCAATGAAAGGGCAGTCGGAACATGCAAGGTTTTGCCATGATACACGAGGAGTCAAATGCTACAGTGAAATTTCCAAATAAGTGAATACTTTCAAGAACACTTTTATATGGGAGTTAGGTTAGAAAAAAAAGAAGGTTTGTATTAGCACACTAAGTTGATTGACATAACGCTTTGCATATGGAGTGATTTTTAATGCAAACGAAGACCTTTTCTAGAGGATTGATCATAGCGCCACTAGTTTTTACGCACGAGCTGTTTTTGCGTCGCGTGTGTAAGCGTGCGTCGGTTTGTGACTAACCATTTCGGTGACGAAGTCGTGTCGGATGAGTCGTCTGTCGTGTGACTTCAGGAACGAGTTCAGTCCATCCACCACGTGTTCCAACTCCTGCAGCAGTGACTCATTTGTGGGCATGTCCTTCAGACAAGACGAGTCCTAAAACACACAACGAAACAAAATTATGAAACTGTCAATCATCACGAGGCACTTAGAATAGTGGTAAGGCGTTCTCTTCTAATAGCTCTTCTGCAATTCACAGGAAAAAAAACAACAAGATGCTGACGATGATGATGATTAATATTAAAAACAACTTTCACATCGGAATTTTGCCTCTAAATTCAGATAAAAAATCTGAAATAGCACGAGAAAGAAGATGATAATGACAATGATGATCATTAATGATAAAATCAATAACAATACGAATTTTTTTCTCCGAGCTCTGTTCATATAAGAAACACCAAAAACGAACAGTTTGAACCAACCTAACAAGAACTCAATGATTACTTGGCTCTTTTCCAGTTCCCCCTTTGATTTTTTCGAAAATTTAATATATGAAAACTTTTTAAAATGACTTTTCATGTTATAAACTGCAATAAAACGTGTCAGAGTGAACAGGTGAACAAATTTTCACAAAATTTCTTACATGCAAAATGCCGTAAGAACAATTTTTGAACAATTTTATTTTGGGGGGGGGGGGTTGGGGGGGGGGGGGGTGTGGGAAACTGGAAAAGAGCCGATTACTTTAGACAAAGTTCTTAAAAAGTGCCCAAAACTTAATCTTTGTTCTTAAAACATTTTCAAAAAAATAGAAAAAGCAAACAAGAAAATGAAAATGAACTCAAAACTAAAAACAAGGAACTGATTTTTGTTCGCCCTAGCTAGTCATAAAAGCACACCTGTTCGTTCATGAGACTGGCTAGACTCCTGATGACCTCTTGTGCTTCTAGAAGATTCTGTCTGTCTGGACAGTCGCTCCTCATCTCACTCAAAAGATCCTAAAAAAAGAAAGAAATCTTCGAGGCAAAACTCTTTTCATGTCAACGCCCACCCCCCTCCCTCTGTTATAGGCAACCCAATGACCTCCGCCTTGGACTGTTTGGTTGAAGTGGTGGTGAAGTGGTTACGTATCTGCCTCTCAATCGAAAGGTCGGATGTTCGAGGCCCACCATGATCCATGTACATTGCTTGAGGTTGAGGCAACATTACACAGTCCAGAAAAATAACTGAAAAAATGAACATGGATATCTTAACCAGGGGCACAACAGTGACTCTCCGTTATGAGCTAATTTGCTCGTATGTTGGCCCTTTCCCTTGTGGAGAAATTGTTTTGTTTCTGATAAATTTTGTAAAAATCGAATAGCATATAACTTGTTTGAAAATCATAATTTTTTTCTAAAAGAAACTGGACGTAGCAAAATATAAAGGTAAGTTTCAAAGATAAAAGTTTTCGTCGCTTAAACCTATGATATCAGATTTGGCAGCATAGTTATTCAGAAAACTCGGTTGAAAACAGAAAATTATGAAGAAGAGTTTCACCGATTTTTATTTTCGATTGAACCCAAAAAACCCAGGTTTGTAATGGTGGTTCTCGAGAGAAGTAATTTCTCAGAAGTAAAACTAAAATTTTGAATTTTCGCGGGTCTCAGCTTTTTGGGTCGAAAAAAATTATGCATACTAATGTATGCATAAAAACTTCACACAAACAAATCTTTGAGTTGAACTCAACCCAAAATTTCAGATATGGGAGGGTCTTTTTTGGTAAAACTCATAAAATTTAGAAACAAAACACTCAAAAAAACAAAAAAGAGTTTTCGAGAACGATAACTCTTAGTTTAAAAAAATTGAGAGTGGCCGTTAATGCAGGATGGCTTACCTCTACCGGTTATCTCCATTGAACCCCCAATCTCAGTTTTGGGAGGTTAGTTTTTGAGAAAACTTTTAAAATTTTCAAAAAAAGGCCAAAAAAATCAAAAATTTGACTGTTGCGAGGGCCACCATTTTAATGTTAAAAACAGTTTGTGGTAGTCGCTTATGGAGAAGAGCCTTTTAAATCTGTAATCTTTTTTTGAAACAAAAATTTCAGATTTGGTATGTTAGTTTTTGAGAAAACAAAAAAAAGTAATCAGTCAATTATTTCCCCCACAGACTTTTTCGAAGGCTGCAGACAAAAGTACAGCCAAAAGAGACCAGGTGAGCATGTAAGCGCACAATAAAAAAGGCAGTCTTTGTAGGGTTACCCTTTTTTTGTTACCCCTTTTTAAAAATCGGTGGAAGGGTTTTTGAGGAAAAAAATTTTTTTTTTGCTAAAATTATTAAAATTTTCTCATATACTTTCATAGTACCTGCTTTTATCAAACAAAAATTTTAGGCAAACATGCCAAAAAGGACATTTGAAATTCAAATTGGTAACTGGAAACAACTTACGTAGCGGAAACAAGGCAGACAATCTTTGAGCAGACATCAGTTAGCCGAAAAAAATTATTACGTAGAAAACTAGGAAAAGTTTCAAGTCCCCCTGAAACTACCCTGTAGTAACTACTACCACCCAGCCACTAATTAAATTTGAATTTTCATGAAGTTGAGTATATCAGCTGCCTAACAGCATCACAAGAGATTTAACTGATTTTTAAACCCGAAAAAAAATTATCCGAAAACAGTCTACATTCCGATTTGATAACGCTACGCTTATCCGCTAAATAGTTCTTTATAGAGGTGGCAATTCTTATCTAGACCAAAGGGGGTAGTTAACAAGATCCAACACCTTCCCGCAAGCGTAACAAACTGTTTTAAAGCAGATGTAAAATGTTTTAAAATCATCAAAAAACTTAACTGCACTTTTACAAGCCTATCACCAGACTTTATCGGTTGTAGGAGAAAGCGGCGTGTCACTTCGACCTAAGCATTTTCGTCTTTCCTCATTAGAGACTAGGGATTTAAGTATGAAATTACAACAGTTCATTTGTGTAGCCACATTAAAACCTCCTAAATCAGAAACATCCCTTAATAGGACAATCCAATAAATGTGATATAAATTGTATTGGCAACTAATCTAAAAGCACTTATTTTAAATGGGTAAAAAGCTTTTAAATTGGACCGGGATAGACCTTATTTTGTTCACACTGGGTTTTCAATCAAATGTATTTGTAAAGCTTTTTTTGTGGCTTTGATACAAACTTCCCAGCTAGAAATGAAAGAGGTGATTGGCAAAATTATCAAGTGGGCTTAGGGCTGTTGCTAGTAATGGTTAGTAATAGGGAATGCGCACTAAAGCCATAAAAGGTATGTGACTATAGTGGTTGCGATTGCTAACCGAACTAAAACTATATTGGAGAAAGTGATTTGATTTATAGCATATCGTAAGCTGTGCGGGAAAACCAATGAGAGGGGGGGCGTATTGTGTTTTACCTTGATTAAAAGGAGGTATCTGGGAATGCGCTGCACCGGCTTAATCATCAGATCATCCAGCGTCAGTTTGACCTGATGTTGTCGCTGGCACACCTGAAAAAATTATCCAATCAAATCTCAGATTTTGTTACATATGTCCCCCTTATTACAAAATATGGAAAATTCGTTACAAGGTACAAAACTCACATACGACATACGCTTATCCGTTGAACTAGTTCTTTAAAGTGGTGGCAATTATTTACTAAGATCCATGGTGGGGGGGGGGGGTAGTTAACAAGATCAAAACTCAACTCTGCAATACTATATCCCCCAAATTAGATGAGAGGAAATAAAATTGTGAACAGATTAACTTGACAGGTACAGATTAACCAGACCAATAACTTTTTCCAATCAGGTCCAGTTTCCTGCGTAAAAAGTTGCTTAAGCAACTTAAAGAAAAAAGGCGTTGCTTTTCAAAGCTTAGAATCAAAGTAGAAGTTTCGAACCCTATAAGGAGACTAGCAGTTAATTGAGTTTCTAGTTGGACAATTAACGGAATTTAAGAAATTTTCGAATGATGTATGTTGCGTATGACTCATTTAGTACCTCCATCCCGCAATGAAGGGTCAATAAGAATTGATGTCATTTCATTTGGACTTTTAATGATCTGAAAACCTAACAATTAACAAACATTGCAATAATCGACAAGAAATTCTACTTTTTTTAAAACCAAAGTCAAACAACAAAAAAAATTTTAAAAACCTGTTAAATTTTTCGAAGGCGATTTCTGGTATTTTTAGCTGATAGCGTAGAATGAATGATGGCCTTCATTAAAGTTAGTTATATTAAAAATTAGGTGAATTAGGTTGTGTGTCACAATAATTAATAATTTTGTTCTCAAGAAGGGAACAATTTATTACTAATTTACTGAATTTCTCCAAAAATTTCCTATCTTGGAACAACACCAAAAAGGGGGTTATACACGGGGCTTACCTCGATGTACTTGTGGAACTGTGTCTTTGCCATGCAGATGTTCTTGGCCTCCATAGTCCGACTGAACTTGCAGATAAACTCCGAGTACGCCTGCCGCATCTCACACTTCGAGAACTGAAAAGAACAAAACCAGATTCGGTGTTTAGTTTTGATCGTTTTTCAAAAACATCAAAAACACTTTTGCTTATTGACTAAATTCTATTTGGTTTCTGAGAACTTTCTTCACAGAAGCAATAAGTCCAACTTCGAAGTCCGGTATAACAATCAGGGGCGGATATAGGATTTTCTCGAGGGGGGGGGGGGGGGGGAGATTTTCAAGAATTTTTTGAAAATTTTGTTGACCTTTTTTTAGGTCGACCAATTTTGATTTTCCGAGCTCTCCCAAAATAATATAAAGACCCTGGTTTGGCAAAATTTTATGCGCGGCAAGCAGTTTTGAAAAAACAGGCCGAAAAAAGCGTCCGCCCAAGCCGCCCCCCTAAATCCGCCCTTGGTTATCCTTATTTTTTCAAAAGCCTGTAGTTTTTGTCAAGGTAAAAACATGTCATTATGCAATTGATAGTTTGAATGAAATGAAAACATAGACAACAGACAAACTGTTTTAACAAAGTTTTGCTCAAAAAACGTTTAAGAACTTCGTACAACAAATTAGGGGAAAACAACACACAAATTTATACGCCAAATAAAAAAAAACGAGCGTCAACAAAAATGTGGTTTAAAAAACTATCATTAAAATTAGATTTTCACTTTTAATTGGAAAATCATTTGCTTGAAACTTTTGAACAGTTTTAATTAATTATAGTCTCAGCCATGAGCCACGGTTATTTAACAACTGACAGTTTATAATCATTTGTTTATTCATGACCAAATTTTAAGCAACAACGGGTGTCATGAGAATTTATAGTTTTTATTTTGTTGTGTTTTTTTTCCCGCGGCTTAAAAACGTTATGGTAGAATGAATATCCAACTGATTTGGACCACAAATGCCTATTCTTTGGGTTATTGAACCTTTGGGGACCCCTTGGGGGACCCTTTGAAACATTAACCCCTCTGTGAAATATTAACCTGCATTTGTTCAAAATTTATTCATTTGGCAATTTGAGGGCAAAAAATATTTTAAAAAATCCGTTTCTTTGCGGCTTAGAACATCAAAAATCATTTAAAAAAAGATATAGTAAAGTTAATTTGATGAAATATCTGTAGAGGGAACTGGATAGGCGCTTAAGAGCGTTATGAGCATAAGAGCTAGAGCTAAGACAATTGTGCAGCCACCACGTTTTGTATTTTTTTTTCAGAGTTGGGCTGAGCTACAAATCTGGCAGGCATATGTAGGTACATGTGCATAGATCTATCACCACATCTTCATTTTGCAAGGACGATGTTATCAGACAAGGACGAAATCAGGAGGCGGGGATTCAAGGACTCGAAACATCGCCATTTGGGACTTTTTACGACAATCAAATTATAATTGTACACTAATTTTCAAAATTTAAAAAAACAATTTCTTGTTCAAGTTTTCTTTAATATCCAGCAACTGTGCGTGTACGTGAGCACTTGATTTACAGTTGAAAAAATTGCGCAGCTGAAATCAATTTTTTTTCTCAAACTTGATAAAACACATTTGAAAAATTCTTCCATGCGCGTGTTCTTAAACGTTTTTGTAAATCTAAGGTTTCGTACTGCAGTCGACTAACTGATAATTTTGTGTTGTATAAAAAACCGTATTCCTGTCTGTATTGCTCGGACTCCTTCCAAGATGAACCTAAGATTATTTAATTAAGTGAGGTGTGTTCACTTTTAATCAAATTGGTTCAACGAAAGCGACAAATGAATGGAACAATGGTACTCGTGTAAAACAGCATACCCGCAACGACATGACAAGGATGAAAACAGGCGCGGATCTAGGAATTTCTCGAGGGAGGGCGGATTATTTCGAAACTTTGTCGACCTTTTTTTAGGTCGACCTAATCGATTTTCTGAGCTCTCCCAAACCACTATAAAGACCCTAATTTGACCAAGTTTTCTGCGCCGCAGGCAAATTTACAAAAAAAAACAAACAAAAAAGGCGTTATTAGGCACTTTTTGGAAAATTTTGACCGCATTGTTTTTGGCGTGCGCTCCCCCCTCAAAGTTAGCATAAATTGGCGCGCAGGGCACCCTTAGAAAAAGTTGCGGTTCCGTCAGCCAAAAATGGAAATCTCAAAATAGTTCAAAGGGGGACCCTTTGGGTCGGCAGGAGGTCGAATCCGTGGGAGGAGGGGGAGAAAGGGGCGTCCATCCCCCAGCACCCCACTAAATCCGCTACTTGACGAGCATATATTGGAACAAGACTGTTCGTATCAGGGCGAAGCTCTGGATGTCCCGCCTGTCTTTTGAGGTCTTTGAAGCGGTGTTAGCTTTAAAAGATGAAATTTTTGGAAAAGAAAAAAACTACAAAAATTTTGAGCTTTTCTAAATCATCCCCCAACACGCCACATGAAGAACAAAGTGAAAATTTTCGCTTCAAATAACAAATCAATTATGGCAAATAAGCTTCCTTCAACCATTCTGGCTCTTTTCCAGTTTCCCACCCCCCCCCCCCAAATTTCAAAATAAAGCTATTCAAAAATTGTTCACGTGGCATTTTACATGAAAGAAATGTTCTGAAAATTTGTTCACCTGTTCACGCTGACACGTTTTAATGCTTTTTATATCATAAAAAATTATCTTTAAATAAGTTTTCATACATTAAATTTCCAAAAAATCAAAGGGGGAGAGCTCGAAAAGAGCCCGACTTCTAAGACGGAATGTAAGACGGATTATAAGTTAGTAGCGCAAAATATATCGCGCTTCAAATGTCCCAAATTGGCCAAGATGGCAATCTTTGAACCCCCATATATTTATGAAAAATGATCACAAGTAAATTAATTTTTTAAATTTAAGCTCAAGACAACAATATTTTTTGAATGATAATTAAAAAATTCTGTCAAAAATGGCTACTTAAAAAGTCGAAATTTGTCAGAAGAAAAAAAAACCACCCCGAGCACAAATAGTTCGTTAATTTTGTTTCGAAAGTCAGAACAAAAAGATATATTTTGTATATAGCTAAGTATTAAATAGAGCAAAGAGCATGCCTCAGTCCAATTTGAAATTATTTTGAATTTCGATCATAAGTCTCCGTTTACGCGTTAATACCACGAATTATAACGCGCATTAACTGTCCCAAATTGACCAAATTGACAACATTTAAACCCCCTTAATTTCACAAAAAAAAATGATTACTTCAATTAAAAGAGGTGCTTGAATTTTTCAATTCAAGCATAATTTATTCATTTTCTTGATAGTGTTGACAATTTTGATAATTCTTTTATTCAATTAGCCCATCTGAATAAAAAAATATTAATTTTTTTCTGCTCTTATACCATTCTGCTTATTGCTCCTACTCCCTTTCAATTGATCAATATCAAAGAAAGCCGCGTTACGAAATGTCGCTTGATACGATAGTCGCCTATTACGAATAGTCGCCTTATGAAAAATTAAGAATCGTCACTTTCTACGATTTGTTTCTACGAATATTTGGAAAATCCCCAAAAACTGCATCTCATCTAATTTCGCTCAAGCATGAAAAGAATGGGAAGTTGCAAGAAAGTCAAGTTTATTTCCGTTTTGATTTCAACCATGGCATTTTTGACTTTCTTCATAGATTAAGTTCATGTCGATCGTAATTTTCAAGACTTATCTTTAAGATGGACTCGTTAAATAGTAAAGCTTAAGGGCAGACAAAATCAGGCATAAAAATTCAGATATAAAATCGTTACGCCTTATTCGTTTTCCAGGTAATTAGCTGATAGAACGACAGACTAGACATCCTTAAAACCAATTTAACTACAGAATTGAATTAAACGACCGCAAAATGCCACAAGAAAGGATTTTTGCAGACAAATTTTGCAAAAACAGCAGCATTTTGCGGCTTATTTCCGTAATTCAGAATGAAAAATGTCCCAAAGATTAAAAAGTACTGTCAATCCAATTGCAGACATTGAAATCGTAATTAAACCGCCTGAAAGACTATGGTCAGTATTTTTAAAATAATTTTCCGAATTTTGATGAGAAAGAACAAAATACGGAGGCTAGCGATGATTTTTCTCTGAACAATTTCAGTGATCAAATATTTTTTGAGGAACAATGAACTTTTACGCAAACCTGAAACCATCGGCTTGACGTTTTCTCATTATATTCACAGCCAAGTTTTATAGCTCGGTAAAAATGATTTTTCGAGCTCCCCCATAACACTATGAAGACCCTTATTTCCCAAGATTTCGAGCTAGAATGGACGTTAGAGAGCACTTTTTGAAAGTTTTGATGAAAATAGATTTTTTCAGCGCTTTTTTACTCCTTAAATTTAATACATATTGATGTGAATTGCGCTTTACAAAATTCTGAAGATTATTCGACTAAAATGGATGTCAAATATTGATATTGAAGGGGTGATATTTTGGGTAACGAGGAGGTCAAATATCAAAATTTGCTATCGGAAAAATCGTTCAGTTTTTTATCTGATACGGTTATTAACAAAACACCGAGCTCGACATTATCCTCGCACCGATACTACTACCGACATCCGACCCGGACATCTTTTGGCTACAGTTGGAAACCAACAGCTTTCATCTCAAGAAAAACGGCCTCAATAAGTATTTCAAACAGCGTCCAAAAATAAGTGCGCAGGCAAAAATTCTACACCCATTTTAACAAAATTATGCGAATTGTTTCAGTTAAAAGTAGCATTTCATATTTAAAATTTTTTCACTATATCGAATTCCTAATTGTCGATGGTGTACCGCCGTTTTCCAATCGCCAAAATTACTCGCGGCTATTTCCTATAAAAGAGTAGAGTAGAAAGCTAAAAGCGAAAATAATATCATAGCTCACAATGTCCAGAAGTAGTTTCCCAATGGCAAACGGCTCCCTCAAACAGTTCCCCCCGTCACCCGCAGCTGCCGTGGTCCCTCCTGCGATAGACGAAGTCGAACAGGTGTTGTTGTTGTTATTGTATTCAAGTGTCGACGAGGAGGAAGTGTAAGATGATGAAGTCATGGCCTCGAGGCGTTCGAGGAGTTGTCGGTGCAGCTGCAGTATCTGGGGGAACTTGAACAGCATGTAGTGTAATAGGTGCTCTTCGCATATTTCGGTTCTGTTTTGAAGAGGCTTCAGGCAAAGCTAGAAACAAATAAACGAACGATTCACATTTAAAAAAAATAAGTTTGCTGAATTTGACTATTTAATTCTATCTTTTTTTTTGCTCTCAATTAGAGTTACTGTCCAATTGTTGGCAATACCGGTGATCTTGGGATTTTGAATCGGCCAAAAAAGAAGTGATTTTGATGTTAGTTAGAGTTTTTCACCCATTTTTACGCGTTGAATCTTTTATCAGCATGTTAAAAGACATCTGTTAAATTTGGTTTCTAAGGTCAGGAGGAGCAGTTTTGGGTTAATTGACTTTGTTTTTGCTGGCAAGGATATTGTCATTATAAACAATTTAATGGATGTAGAATTTTAAATCATAATACAAATTAACAAATTCAATTGAATGACAAATTTGTTGCCAAAAAGTCCAAAAATTCGTACGGCATCAAGATAAATTAAAATTTTTTATGGAAAAGCGATGAAAAATACCGAAAATTGACTTTAAAAAAAATTTCTGAAAAAATTCGGAATAAGCATCTTTGTATTTGCGTTGCTCATCTTTGCTCATGCTAAGTACTGCAATTTTTTTAAATCACAATGTGGATAATTGTCTATATTAAATGCCAACTTTTTGGTAACTAGGTTTTTTGGTCAACGAATTTGAAAGAAAATAATGTCGTAAACATCAGTAAAGACAGAATTGGGGCAATGCTGAGACCTGTTGAGAAAAGATTTTAACAGTTTTCATCGAGACTTCTAGCAGCACTGACTGCAGACGTTTCCTGACCAACTATTATGTTTGGAACTGCGTCAAATTTATGCATCTTTTAACGCCATTAAACGCTTTTAACAAAATAATTTCAATTTTTCCACATTTTGAGTTTTTGAAAATTATGAAAAGTTGCTATCTGAACTGACAATTAGTGGTAAATTTTTTGTCTCTTTGTCTGAGAAAATTGATTCCATTCCGGAACTAATAGTTAAGCACTCATGTCTAAATAACTACAGAGGCGGTTTTTAGTCTTTTAGAAGTTTTAAAGTTTTTAGAGATTTTTGTGTCCAATGACAGCTCCTCACTCGGTTGGTTAGAATTTGGTTGCTGACTAAAAATATGCTCAAATTAACACAACCTAGATGCATTTGTCGTTTTACCAATTGTTAAATGAAAGAAAGATAGCCGGTTACTGTGCAAGTAGCACAGAAGGTCCCGATTAAAGTTTTAAAAAAATACAAAAAGTTCAACTCAGTGTCTTTTTTTGCTTATTGGGATTAAAAGATCTGAACAGAAAAAAACTTAGGCATATTTAACAGCCATAGTAAAATAGGCCTATTGAAAAACAATTTTAAAAAAAAAACTTAAAAAATTCAAAAATTTTCCAAAAATGTTTTCAATTTTTTCTTTGCCGAACTTTTGATTCCCAAATTGACGCTAAAAAAACTCCAAAAACCAACCTTACTTGAATAATGTCTTTGTAATGTCTTTCAAATTACGACTGAAAGGGCTTTAATATGATATATCACTCAATCCATTCTGGTGATTATTTGTGGTACCTGATTTTGCAAGAAAAACAAATAGAAAAAAATAATGCACCCAAATACACGATTCTTCCACATTTTTCAAATGGTCGGAACAATCATTACACTTACAAAGTAAAGTGAATCACAACAAAATGTTTTAATCAAAGCCAATAAAAACTCAATAAAAAAATATCAGCAAGCATTAGTTTCTTGTCTAGGGGCCTACATTGCTCCAGATCACCAATAGTATCAACAATTTGGCTTTAAAATAATAGCAAACTGCTTGTATATCAGAGCAAAACTCTAAGCTTTCCGACAGCCCTTTTACTGGTAACTATATTTTTTGGACTGTCAGTATGAAATTTTAAGTGCTAAGCTTCGAGTAAATTATGGATTTAATACGACCGATGTATTTTCCTCAATTCGATTGGGAGTGATTCTGACTATTATTTGTAAAGCGAAATATTTCTAATGGTCGATAGGCTAGTGCAGGCCCAGCCGACTTGCAATCCAAAGATTCCTGGATAGCACCACAAGCAGTCAAAACTTTCCTCAGAATAAAAAAATCACTTCTAGTTTATATAATCCTCACTTCCACCGGCGGATTTAGGGGGTACGGGGACCCTCAGGGATTCGACCCCCAGCCGACCCAAAGGGTCCCCCCTTTGTACTATTTTGAGATATCCATTTTTGGCTGACTGACCCTAAAATTTTCTCAAGGCGGCTTTGGCGCCAATATATTTTAATTTTGAGGGGGAGAGGGAGCGCGCGCCAAAAAAACGCATTTTTCTTGGTCAAAATGTTTCACAAAGTGCCTAAAAACGCCTTTTTCGGCCTGTTTTTTTTCAAAAGTTTGCCTGCGGCGCAGAAAATTTGGCAAAAATGGGGTCTTTCTGGTGATTTGCAAGAGCTCAAAAAATCAATCGAATTTTTTTTGAAAATCCGAAACCCCCCCGAGAAAATCCTAGATCCGCCCCTGCTCACTTCGTTCGAAAGTTGGAGCAATGAATACGTTGACGAGTCGGGCATTCTAAAGAGTTTTTTCAATAAATGTACAAATTTTGAAGCGCCGATTCGATTTGAAGCGCATTTTATTATAAGTAGTGCGTTGTTGACTAACCCAAACGAGGTAGTGTAGTGATGATACGTAAGACCTCTCTGTGTCCAGGAGAGTGGAGACTATGAATCGAATCTTCTCCTAAAAACCAAATATCAAGTAACTATTCATTCTCGAGGTACATTTTTGGAAGCATTGAATTTTTTCAAAATTTTATTCAGGGTAAATCGCCTCGGCAGAAGTGGCCGCTTGATTTGAAAAACTTTCAACCAACTCCTCTACAAAAAATTAGATGCATTTTTTCTCTGAAAATACAATTTTTAAGTGTTTTTGTGTGTGTGGGGATGGGAGGGGATAATTGGTAAAACTACATGAGCTACTATTGGTATGTTTCTAGGATTTAGCAACTTTTAAATTTCTACCAGAGAAGGACCGAAATTTTGAAAGCCGACCAGCTTTGCTTTTTATAAATTCGGTGCAAATAAGCAATAAAATTAGTCAATTTTGAGTAATATAAGGGGAATTGATTGGTTGAGAATTGTTTCAGCATTCGGTCTTTTGCGCATGAGAAAAGACAATGTTCTGAGCTCATCCGACACCCAAATATATATTTAAGCAACAACTGAGTCCTGAAGCAGGTCAAGTCGGGTTACAAGTGAGCGGAAATAAATTATTCGACAAAAAAAAGTTTCGTGGGCTAACTTGAGAAGTGTATGTCTTTGCGGCGTCCTCGCAAGCCCCCCGAATCATCCTCGTCTCACTCGGTTCATCGATCACCACTTCCCCAGTCAACTTAGCCGACGACGACTGCTTCTCGCCCTCGTCCATTTTCCGGAAACTGTTCGATCTGCAGTCCCGAAACGAACTTGCAAGTCGCTTCTGCCTAGTCGTCTTTTCCATGTAAGTCGGCTTCGTAAAACTCTTTCTTCGGATACTAGTCGTGGCAGTCAGCGCCCATGTCGAGTCGTGTTTTGACGAAGGATTAGTTCGGCCATTCACATCCACAGAGCTGTTGTCTTTGCTAATCGAGTTCTCTCGTGTTCCGATTCTGGGGCTCAATTGCCCGCCGGCGCTTTTGTCCATCATAGGTGGACTGTACATACTACACGAACTGGAATCGACCGAGTTGAGGAGCGACTTGGTTCGTTTTCCCCCGAAAGATCTTTTGAGATCGTCTGTTAGTTTTTCAAACGCACTTTTTTCTTTCGTTTCTGTTATAAAAAAACAAAGGATAATATTGTCTCTATTAAAAGCTTAAAAATGAGTAAAAAAGAGTAAATAAAAAGATATAAACAATGGCTAAAATAGTTGCTGTAATAAGTTCCCGATAATTGCTGCTTGGTGAGGCTTAAAATATACCAACACAGTTTTAAGAAGTACATTTTGCGCCCATGGGTTTTCTTTAAATATATAAATAACAAAAGCGCTCATTAAAAAAAATTTTTTCTTGATGTGCGTCAGGAAATAATTACAAAACAAGCAGTTTAACTGATAAAATCCATCCAATTTTATTTCAGAGTGTTGATAAATTTAACTTTTGAAGAAACAATTACGGTAACATAACGCTTAATTGCTCCAATAATTGGAAATGTAAATATTCAGGGGTGCATTGAGGGTTTTCTCGAGGGAGGAGGGTGCTTTTTATTTTTTTTTTGAAAAGAAGGTCGATTTTTTTAAGCCGACTAATTTGATTTTCCAAGCTCTCGCAAACTTTTAAAATGTCTTATTTTTCAAGATTCTTCTTAGCAGGGGCTCTTTAGAAAATGACGGTTGTGGAGCTTTTTTTGAACACTTATGATCAAAAATCTTCAGAGTTTGTTGGCCAAAAAGAAGGTTTTTTATTCCATATGACTTATGTTCTACTAACCGGTGTAAAAAATCCATAGCGTACAATTGTATGGAATAACTATTGGTTAAAATTTTCGAGATGAAAAAAAAACGACTGTTTTTTTCTTCTCACCGCACGAGTTAAAGTTTACTTAAATCTGTTTGGCCTAGAATTTCCGACCGATTATTATAAAAAGCAACATGCATTTTTAATCGTCATTATTGTCATATGCAAATCATTTATTGCACAAAAAACTGATGCTTATGTGAGTTGGAAGGGGGATAGAGCAACTGCAGTTCAAATTCTTGTCTTCATCGTTGCGACTGCACTCTACATTCCCAGGTTGACCTCCATACTCCGAAAATGCTTATCATTCAGTTTCCATATCATTACTAATTAAATATAAAATTGATTTTTTTGAAAAAAAAGCTAGTCATACAATTTTCATGCATGGGAAGTTTTTACCATAGATATTTAAATATTTGAAAATGTTAATCATTTTTTGTGAGTTTTATGGAATTTGTTTGATAAGGAGTTTTGGTCCACCCGGCTAGCTGCGATGTGTCTCAGAGATCTTACAAGTCTCCATGAAAAAGCGGTCAGCTAATTTTAAAAGAATTTTAAAAGGGTCTAATTTATAACTAACCTTGAGGGAAGTGAGGGGGGACCACGATGCTGTCCGAGGGTCTCTTTCCCATGGCCGAGCTGGGTCTGTGGAAAAAGATGTTGCCGTCGTCATTCACTGTGAAGGACTCGGCCGGGAAGGTACTGCAGGAGTTCGCCTTCTGAAACAACACAATTTAATTTATACACTTCCTCCACTAATTTCCAGACTATCGCGACTAGCTTCTAGACCATCGAGACCGTTTTCCAGACCATCGCGACTAATTCCCAGATCATCGCACCTAATGTTCAGACCATCGCGACTTATTTCCAGACTATCTCGACTAATAATCAGACCATTGCGACTCATTTCCAGGCCATCGCGACTAATTTCCAGACCATCGCGATAATTTTCAGACCATCGCGACTTATTTTCAGACCATCACGACTAATTTCCAGACTGTCGCGAATAATTTCCAGACCATCTCGACTAAGTTCAAGACCATCGCCATTAACAATCAGACCATCGCAACAAGCTTCTAAACCATTGCGACTAACTTCCAGACCATCGCGACTAATTTGCAGACCATCGCGACTAAATTTCAGACCATCGCGACTTATTTTCAGAACATCACGACAACTTTCCAGACTGTCGCGACTAGCTTCTAGACCGTTGCGACCAATTTCCAGACCATCGCGACTAACTTACAGACCATCGCGACTTATTTTCAGACCATCACTACTAATTTTCAGACTATCGCGACTAACTTCCAGACCATCACGACCAATTTCCACAACACCGCGACTAAAATTCAGACCATTGCGACCAAGTTCCAGACCATCAAGAGTTATTTCGCTTCATTAAATCATCCAAAGTAGATCATCGCCACTAATTTCCAGATCATCGCGACTAGTTTCCAGAAAATCGCGATTAATTTTTAGACAATCATTACCGAAATACGATACTTTTTTCCGACTTTCGTAAAGAAATATTTTAATACCAGCCGAAAGATATTGTTGTTTTGAGCTCAAATTAAAAAAAATATTTTAGCTGTGATCACTTTTCATGAAGTTATCAGGGTTCAAATATTGCGAATATGGCCAATTTGGGACAATTAACACGCGATATATTTCGCGCTATTAACACGTAAGCGGAGATTTAATCCCTAATAGAAATTGTTCCAAATTGGTTGAAACAGGCTGTTTGACATCATTTCTACGTTACTAAGAGCAAAATCTATCACTTTGTACTTTATATGGCGTGTGGGGAGATTAAAAAAAACACAATTTTTTTTTCGAAAAATTGATCATTTTTTTTAAAGCAAACACTGCCTCATAGGCCTTAAAAAACAGTCAGAACATTCAAGGCTTCGCCCTGATACGAGCAGTTTTGTTGGATTTTCTCCGTGACAAAAAACACTGGTCAAACTAAGAAACTTCAGTCCCGTTTTGTGATCAGAGCAATTCAGTCATTCATCCTGCGAAACTTCGCATCAATGTCAAAACTTTACCAACGTTCTCTAATGTCAAAAATTGATGTTGAAAAAGAGGCCCTTTTTTTGCTCCCATCATTGATTTTTTTTATTATATAGCTGCTTGGCCAGTTGCGCGATGACACAAAAGTTCACATTATGGACACCAAAAAGTGTTCACAAAAGTTAGTTTCTTGGGTTCAAATTCTCGACTTGTGTCGATCAAAGTCAAATGAGAACGCTCGTATCAAGAAAAAGCCCTGAAAGTTCGGACTGTCCATAAACTGGTCTTTAATAATTTTTGATTAATGAAATATTGACAAGCTATGAGTCTTAAGCTGAAAATTAACTATCGTTTATGGAATTAATAAGACCAATTAGGCTGCCTCAATTAAATTTGGAATAATTTTAAGGTGCGGGATAATTTGCCACGCGTAAATTGTTGTATATTACAGCTTTTCACAGATAGTATAGTGGCGAGCGCGACCCTTTTGAGAACACGATGATCCATGGTTCGATCCCCCAAGGGAAACATTTTTGAGAATTGGTCTGGATAAAAAAAACCACCCGAGCATATATATTCCTTACTTTCTTCGAAAGTCGGAACAATAATGAATTTTCACGACTGAACATCAGCGACTTGTCAAGAAAGATTTTCGCTTTTATCCACCCACATTTCAAAAATCTTGTTTTCATGGCAATCTGTGGAGTTTCATTAATCAATTATAATTCTAATAAATTCCTTATGAAAGATTATAATTATACTTAACAAATTGAAATGGATGTAAGATCCTTCATAAAAACTTTGAACAATTATTACTTATGCGAAACTCGTCATATAAACAATCGAGTGGTTTATAAATCTGTAAGAAATTGTTGCAAGAACAATCGAAAACTTTGCAACAATTTCTGTTTTACTCACGACCTACTCGAAGTATAAAACTACTCACAAAGGCAATTTTTTAGCAAAACGATATTCCTCACACTATAAACACTAACTACCCCCCCCCCCCGCCTTAATTTCCCCACCCTTAAATAAATTACCCGCACCCAAAATTAATCGGCAAAAGGCAAAACTGTATTTTAAGACTTGTAAGCGGATTGTGCTCTGTTTGATCTTTATTCTTGTCTATCTTTGTTCTTGTGTTTTCTTTGATTGTGCCGACATCAATTTCGCAATGGTTAAAGTCTCGTTTCCGGATTCCGTAGGTACACACAGTTTAAAAGATTCCGTATCTAACAGAGCATGGCCTCTCAATGAAACTTACTCCCCGCCCTCAAACTTACTCTACCCTCTCCCAAAACTTATACACCCCCCCCCCACGTCAATCAAACGTAGAGAGGAAGGCAAATTAATCAATTTAAAATGGTATTTATCGATTTAAAAATAGCAGCATTTCTTAAACGATACAACATATATCATGGTATGTTTTTTTTATAGAGACTGACTTGACGATGACAATATAATTGATTAGGTTCCAAAAAACTCACGAAGCGGGTTTATTATGTCAAAATGCGGGAAAGGGAAAAACCCAAGAAAACCAAATGAGTCAGATCTGAGCAGAGAAAATTCAAGGTTAAGTTTTCGCATGGTCTGTTGACCATGCTAGCATTCATTGTTGCGACCATTTAAAAACTGCGGAGAAACTATGTATTCGGGTGTATTTTAGTTTTTTATTTTTTTGTTTTTCACTTTAAGCGAGTAAAGCGAACTAACATACTTATTTATGCTTACCTTAGATCGTTGACAATTGCTTATTTATGATTGTTTTTGGTTTTACTCAATTTTTTAGATCTTTACTATTATTTTAAGAGTTTTATTAACGCAACTTTGAGAATCAAATTTTCAAAAACTCAAAAAATAAAACTGAAGAAAAAAATTGAATTTTTTGATTTTTTAAATGATTTTTTTTAGTAATCTATTTTAACATTCGAGTCCAAATTGCTTGTTTCACTATGACTTTCGAATATGCCTAAACTATAGTTATACGTCAGCTCCTTTTTTCACGCCACGCAGAAAAAACTATATATATTTAAAAAACGTTTTCTTGTAGTTGATTAAAGACTATGATGGTAACATTCTCTGATACTTGCACAGTAACGGCTATCCTTGTTAGTTCTAGGATATAGCTGGTATAATCTCGTAACTTCTGAGCAAGCCAAATATCACGCTGAAAGGCCCTCAATAGAGCTTAGGTGCTACTAATATAATTGGAGATTTACCATTTTTCAAAGTTTTGCTCCAAGAAAAGTCCGAACGCAGATTTTAGGATTTGCGTTTGCTTGATTTACTTTGCTTGATATTGCTTGATTCACTGTCAAATCAGCCTAATTCGTTTTTTTTTGTTTATTTTAGCAGAAAAAACGCAGATGAATTGAAAAAAAAGTTTGTGCGTTTTCTAAGACTATGGTAGAATCATTCTCGGTTCCCTGCCCAGTAATCGGCTATCCTTGTCACAATATGACAATAACCGATACTTTTTCCTGCCTCCACCTCGCACGAGCATCAATTTTATGGTGTAACCAGTGGTTTTACAAGGTTAAGTATGGAGACCAATTATGCTTGACTTGGTCTGATTAGTCCGCAATCTGAAAATCATTATTCACACGGAAGCAAAACGATTGCATCTATTTCATTATAACACAAGCACAGCATTGCAGGCTGTCAATTAAAAAATGAGACGGAAACAATAAAAACGTTTAAAAAATTTGGGAAAAAATGAAAACCGTTCCAGAAAAACAGTCAAAAATAACAAACAGCAGCCTGTATTAAATAAACTTTTAGTAAGTCTTGAGTTTCTGCTGAGCTGACAACAAAAAGTTATACGCCTATTGCGCGTAAAATAAAAAATGCCATGAGAAGTTGAGCATTTGAATCTTAAAAATTTGAAATCTTGCACACAAATTACCCAATATTTAAAAACAAATCAGTCATTTTTACTCTGTAAGCGACGCAAAATAAATTATTCAGCGAATAAAACATCAACATCAGCGAAACCATTTGATCCGAAGAAAGTTTTTAAGCAAAAAAAAACAAAAGGGAAAAGATACAACGTTAGGGCTATTATGTTTTATAAATTACAGGTGTAAGCCAAAAACACCTGCATCTAAGGTTTAAATTGCTGATAGCTCAAAAAGTTTCTCGGACGTGGCAACTGAGACACCAAACATAAGCCGGCATATGAAAATTTGGCAATAGAATCTTTCCCGGAAAAAACTTTGCATTATTTTTATACTGAAAAAGGTCCAGTAAAAAAGGTTCACTAATAAGCAACCTTACAGTTCTTTTACAGATTTGTAAAACTTGTTTACGGAAAAAAGTCCAATTCACAATTACCAGACACTTACTCTTGAAAAAATAGTAGCAAAAAAACACGCGAATAAACTTTTTTCAATTAAAATTTGCAAAACAAGCCAATGTTCATTCTGACAATGTTTTAAAACTTCAACTTATTTCTCCCCATACTATTTTGTTAGTTAATAAGTGCAAAATTCACACTTGCTTGACCGTTAACTTGTTCTTCATAGAGGAGGTTCGTTTTTAAGTGCTATAGGAGGATGGGCAATTCAAGATCCTTAAATAAATAACAAGGTAAGGCTCTTTTCCACTCCCCCCTACCTTTGAATGTCAATTGGGAAAGCCTATTTTAATTTGCATAATGCAATGAAACTTGGCATGCTGAACAAACTAACCACTGTGAACAGATTTGATTTTAATACCTTACGGGAAAAATTTGGGAAATACAAGAGATACAAGGGGGGATGTGGATAAAAGCCACAAGGTAAAAAGTGTATTCACACCTGGCTTACTCTGGATTTTGGCATGGTGAAGTACTGCTCAGGGGGCAATAGGGAGTCTTTGAGTGCAGTGGGGGGTGACTTGCAGTCTGTGGACGAGTTGGCCCTGTCTAGCAAAGCCACTCTGCTGCCACTGGATGAGCCCCCCAAGTGACTTCTGGGCGAACAGGAAGCCCCCCTCTCCCTCTCCCTCTGCTCAGTAGGCGAATCTTCAGCTGGAACCTACACTTGGCAGAAGAAACATATTAACTTCAACAATTTTAAAAAAAGAAACCGAAAAACGAATATTTTATTTCATCATTTTGAGTGCAGCTTCAAGACATTTATGGTGCCGAAACAAAACATTTTGTCCTTAATACGCGAATTTCTCAAGTTTTATTAGTTTTTAATGAGAAGAAACCAAAAAACGGTTTTTAAAATTTAAATTGAGTGGAGTTACAAAACATTGATAGTGTCGGGACAGGACTTTTTTCCCAAATACGCCAACTTTTGCTTTGTAAATTTGTCAAGCAGCGAATTAACATGGGATAAAATGAGACGGAGCCTACAGGTAGCAAGTATGCTATGTTGATTTTTTCCGTGGTTGATGAATGGGCGTAAAAAAAGACAATAGTACTACTCCGAAAACAATTAAACATGAGTGTCAAACCAGTGGCGTGAGCTGGATTTTTCTTGAAGGGGATGGGGAGGGGCAGTTTTTCGAAAAAAATTTTGGAAATTTTTAAAAGTCGACCAAAACGACTTCTCATAAAACCCTACCAAAATACTATTTTGATAAAGTTTCTAGGCCGCAGACGAACTTTTGAAAAGACAGGCCCAAAAGGGCCTATTAGGAGAAATGTTGGAAAGTTTGTTATAAGAAAAAACATTTTTGGCGCTCTCTTACACCGCTCAAATTCAGTGTATAATGGCGCAAAAAGCGCCTTAAATTTTCTTTTGGGTTGGTTATAGCCAAAAATAGATGTCATAAATGTACGGCGTAAATGTTCCAAACGGAGGAGTCTTTGGAAAAAGTTGGCAACCAGAATTGAAAATTTTCAACCCGCAACTGTGTCGACAAAGTTACCTGTACAGTGGGGGTGGTTGGAGATGAGGTCGGGATGGCTCCGTTTGATGTTGTCCCCCCAGACACCACGACAGTGTCCTGTCTGATATTCACTACCCCTTGCACGGGGGGAGGGGGCAGTTTAGTCTGATGAGGCTGCTGCTGCTGCTGCTGCTGCTGCTGGGAGGAGGGGGAGGAGGAGGATGAGGAGGCTGTGGCACCGGAGGCCGTAGCAGCTACGTACTCTGCAGTCAGGTCCGAGGGAGTTCGTTGCTGAAATTACAACATCCTGTTTATTCTAGTTGCTGAATTGATCCTGTTACTGAAATTACAACACCCTACTTTTTGCACCATACATAAATTGTTAGTTGAAAAGTTATCACGGCATTTTTTTTGACGTTGTTGTATTCAGTTCAAAAAGGAATTTTTGTTAATTGAGTGTTCAAAAATATTGCGGACTTGTAATCAACTTTCAGTATATCTGAGCTAAACTTCTGAGCAAGTAAATTAAGTCCAAAATAAGCTTTTCTGTCCATCAAATAGCTCAAATATGGCCATAGTCAGCCAACAGACAGTCAAAAATGTCAATGAACGCAAAGAAACAGAAAATATCTTCCAAAAATGGCTCAAAGACGGCATTTTTGGATTTTTTAAAATTTTGTTATAATACGGTCCTAATAGTGTTCCGGGGACGCTCGGAAAATCAATTTGGTCGGTCTGTAAATTTTTTTGAAAATCCACCCCCGCCACGTGAAGAAAGTTCTAGATCCGCCCCTGATGTAAATTGAGTTTGCAAAAAATAGAGATATCCCAAAGTCCTGCCTCAAATTTATTTGTTTTTATTTGTTTTTTGTATCCCAAAGTGTTTTTTTAACTATCAAAAATACCAATTGCTTCTCTTGTAGTAAAGTGACCATTTTCTATCAAACATGAAAATCAGATCGCTGGTTATGACTTTTTGACTTGACCTAAGATCTTTCCACTTATTCATTTTTTCATTTTTTCATTTTTTGCACTTATTCATTTTTTCTGCTAATTAAAATTTTCGATCTATACTTCCTGAACCGTCAATAATCGTAGAAGTTTTCAGCCTTCAAATATGATGAGGGCAACCAACTAATCGAGTGAAATTGATGTAACCAAAGCTCCTGTCACTCCATAACAAATCACCGCTCGCAACTCAAAAATATCTAAAAGTTTTAAAAGTAATTTGGTCAAAGAATGCAGAAAGAGGAAATACTCATATCAAATAACTGAGGCTGTAAAAGACAACAAATGACCGTAAATTTTCTCGACGACTTAGAATTTAAATAAAACAAAACCTACGCGACAGTAACTTAAAATGTCAATTAGAAAAACACAACAAGAATAGAAGAAGACTTTTTAGCCCAAATGAAAGGTAAAAAAGAAAAAGAAAAAAATAAATCGTGCGAGAAACAAATTGGCATTGTTAACACTGCGAGTTCGTCAATTAGTAGAAAAGGTTGCTATTCAAATTCAACAGCCCCAGGGTATAAGTACAATAAAAGACTATATTGAAAGTTGGTAAGTAGAAAAACTATTGTAAAAATTGCTACTCGGAGCTAGAAAAGGGCTCAAGTCATGCTTGTATTAGAGCAAGGAAACCATCATACATCCTTGTACCACAGCAACCGTTTCCCATGTAAAAAAAAACGGGAAAAGGCGCAGAATTAAAGCAAAACAATTTAAAAAATTGACCAAAAATGCATATATTCTAATTTTATTGACGCGTTTTTTAATCTGATCCACAGGAAAAATTACTATTTGGTTCAACTTCAATTTATTGTCGCGACCATTGAAATTGGGGAAGAATTGTGTTTTCGGCTGTGTTTTAATTTTTTCACTTTTTCTTCCGACCATTGAAAGTGGAGAGTAACTTTGTATTCGGTCTTTTTTGCGTTACTTATGCAAAATCAGGTTCCAAAAACATAATTGGAGTATTTCGAGTAATATACCAAATTAAAACCCTTGCAGTCGTGATTTGAACGACGACATAAAATTTCCAAAAAGTTTTCCCAGTATCAAGAAAATTTTTTTATGGTTTAATTTAAGTCCTGAAAACTTAGTTTCACGCAAGTCAAGTTAGTTTTTGCAGTTCTTAGCGCCATTTTGGGAATCAAAATTTCATTAAAAAAATAAAACTAAAAATTTGTTTTTGTTGTCATTTTTCTACAAAAACTGTTGTGCAATCAATGATACCATGACTGGCACAAACGCCGAAATTTTGATTTTTTTCTTTAGAATCTTTTATCACACAACGCAGAAAAACTACAAAACTTTTCAGCCTGGAAGCAAGACATCAAACAACATTCAAATCTGAGCTGCAAAATCTTCAGGTTTTAATAAATTTGGTAAAAAACCTCAAAGCAAATAGTTAGAAAAGAAAGTTAGCTCACTGTACTTTAAGTTGCACAGAACGCTGCGACTGCATCAACTTGAACTCATTTGCTAGCTATAGACAAGTTGCAAAGATACAAATTTCAGTTTCATTTTTGAAAAAGATGCAAACTTTAATTCCGTTTTTAAAAATTTTCTGAATGATTCGAAAGCAAGCTTTGTTGTGACATATGTGTAGTTACTTGAAAAAAAAATATTACAAAAAATATCAACAGCGGTGTGCTCATGCTTCTCAAATATTTATTAATAAAACCACCGTATAGTACTTATTGCTGGGAGCGGATCTAATATTTTTTTTGGGAGAGGGCGGGGCGGATCTTCAAAAAAAAAATTGCCGGTCTTTTTTCCAAGGTCGACCAAATTGGTTTTCTGAGCTCTCTCAAATCATTATGAAGACTCTATTTTGACTAAATTTTCTGCGCCGCTGGCATATTTTTGAAAAGAGGTCAAAAAATGCGTTATTATGGTTTTTTCGGAAAATTTTGACCACAAATTACGTTTTTTTTGGCGCGCTCTCCTTTATCAAACTTTGTACACAATTAAAAAATTTTAGAAAATTATTACCTTAAAATAGTTCAAAGGGGGACCCTTTAGGTCGGCAGGGGGTCGAAATCCTGATGCGGGCGGACTCAATTCACAATTCACCAAAAAATTGCACAATATAAAAATTGCTGTGCCATCCCCACCTAAATCCGCTGCTGATTATTACTCAGCTCTTTTTAATTTTCAATATTTCATACAAACACGACTTTTACGAAGTTTCGTACAAAATTTTTCCCGTAATTAATTTTCTATGACATTATGCTTTTGAAACAAAAGAAGCTGTTTTTTCAAAAAAAACTTTTTCTAGGTTAAGAAACAAGGCCACAAAAATGCAAAAATTGCTTGCTATTTTTTCAAAGTGAGATTGAACTCTAGTTATTTGTCCATTTTAATGGCCACTTATTTGAACTATTTCACTGAAAACTAAACATCAATAGGCAAAAGATTTGGTGTTTGGCCTTTTGTTTCCGAATATGCATGAACGAGCCTTCTAAAGATTGTAACTCAAGCAATGTATTGCTAATTACCGACGACACAGTTAAATTAGTTTTGTGCAATTTTTGGTGAATTGTGAACTTGCGACTGAAAATAAAAAGATTAGTGAAAAATTTTTGATAAAAGTGTGAATAAGTAGTTGCTTTTGAAGTTTGTTAAAACAATAACCTCAAGACTACTACTCGCTAGAAAAACCCTGAAAAAATGAGGAACTTCCACTTTTTTTAGAGTTTTTGCTGAGAGCAGTAGACTTGAAAAAAAATTGCATTCGTTGTCGTAATTTTTGTCTATAACGTAGTCCGGAAACAAATTTTTTCACACATGAGATAAAAAACAGAACGTCTTGTGTGAAGCATGAGTTTTTGTTTTATAATGTAATATGAAATTCAATCTACCAAAAACCAGGCCTGAATTCATAAATGCTCAATCTTTTGAAGAAGAAGCTTTTTAGCCGTTACACAAAAAGGTACAATTTTTCATTATAATGATGTGTGAAGCTCCAAAAAAACTATTCGGCGGATCTCCAAATGCGGGGTTCTTGCCACTTAACCTGTTGGTTTCTCATATGACAAAAACTTTGCTCCTTGTTGCTTAGGACCAAACATATAAAGATACGACCGAGCCGAAAAAAAAATTTCTTTTCATTTATACCCCTACAGTTTCATACTATGGAGAAAATATTCGTCACACGCTTTCATGCTCGGGAAACTGCTAGTCATAGAGATATCAGATGTTTTTCAAGATGTGTTAAAAGCTTAATTCACAGGTGTGAAAATTTATGACTAGCATTTGTTGATAACCCGGGTCGCTGAGGGTTTTAGAGTAGAAAAGTGAACGCAGGAGTTAAATTTATTACTCAAACAAGATTCGATTAGATAGCCATGCTTCAAAGAACCATTCGCCACCTTGGAATTTAGACACAACCCGGGTTAACCTCCATAGACCAAATATGCTAATCATACAATTCCATAAACTAAGTCTATGAAAAAAATACTAATCATACAAATTTCATACATTTTGCTAAAAAGATGCCGTCAATTTTTCGAAAAACTTTTCTCTTGTTTCGGCATAAAATTCGGTGTATCGTACTAAATAAAAAAGAAAAACTTTTCGTCAAAAAAATGCTAATCATACAATTTCTATATATGGAAAATGTATGACTAGCATTCTTTTGATGGCGACGACAAAAGTATTTTTGAAATTGCGCCCTTAAATTTTTTTTGTGTTTTTTTTTCAACCGCAAATTGATTTTCGTACTCAAACAAACATTTTTTGAAAAAAAAAATTGCATGCAAAATTCAATTTTTTTTGTGTTTATAACGTAGTCCTGGATATACTAATATTGGATTTTTTTTCCTTTTATCTTCAAAATTTTTTTAAAAAAACTTTTATAACTCCTCTTTCTTTTGTATGACATGTTTTTGTATGCCTTGATCAATGTGTGGTAATTTAAAAATTCAAATTTTAGAAATAATCATCTTTTAAATTTTTGCCAAAATTTAAAAGTTCGTTACTTTTGTTACTTTTTTTGTGAGACAGAATTAAAACATTTCAGGCTGTTTCCAATGCATTTTTAACGCGAGTCGGCCAAACCTTTGGTTACTACGTTTGAGTAACCAAGGTTTATGTCATTTGTGTTCGGTTACGAACACAACCAATAAATTTTGAGAAAATTAAAATGTAAAAAATCAATATTTTTGGTTTATGGAAAAATGCTAGTCATATAAATTCCATATATGAAAAAATACTAATGATAGACCTTTCATGCAATTTTCTGTATTATGGAATTGCATGAAAATTGTATGACTAGCATTTTTGGTCATTCCGGGAAAACCCATGCTCAAAAAGCCAAGATTTTTAAAGCCAAATGTTCAGACATGTTTGGCGCGCGCTTCCCCTCGAATTTAGTTATGTTGGCGCCAAAGGCGCCTCTAGAAAAAATTCACACACTGGCTGACTCGTGGTAAAAGCGCCTTTGATGCTAATGTTAGTAACTTTTAGGGTAAGAAAACAAAGATTTGGAATAAAACATCTCTGCTGAGAATAAAACATGGTGTGGCTCATAGAGACGAAAAAGACAAGTATTTAGAAAAATAGCTCGAATTTTGTTTTATTTATAAAGTATATTGTCTTTTTGCACATACAATAAAGCTTCGTATTTGGTTGTAAAAAGGATTTTTCTTCTCATTTTCAATTGGGGTTTTGGAGAAAAATCTTGTTTATTGAAGATTTTACAGTGCATGGGGTTATTGTGAATAAATAATTTTTATCCGTTGTTTCTTTTATCATAAACGCAATTTTTTGGTCAAAATTTTCAAAAAAAAACTTAAAAATGTCTTTGTGGCCTGTTTTGCAGAACATGTGACACGTCTCATAAGACCGTTTAGAGGGGAAATTTACTCTTGTGAGGAAGCAACTGCAACCAAACTGAAATGGCAAAGCATTTTCACTAGCTGATAAGTCACATACTAGAAAAATAAAATTGCATTGATTGAGTTCAACCCCATTAAACTGCAAAATCAGCTAATCTAAGAGATATTCAGACTCACTTGGTGAAGACGTTTACTCATTCTGAAAGAACCGCGTTTGATCTTGGCCGCAATCGACATCTTCTTCGAATCGCTCCCCGTCCTCGAAAACTGGGGCTTATGTGTCGCAGTATGAGTCGCATCATTGCCCAGTTGCGTGTCCGAAGGCTCCGAAGACGACTTCGCCTCGCTTGAAGCTTCATTCGTATCATCCGTGTCCAAAACTGCGATTGGGGGCAACGTATGCATGCTTTCCTCGGCACAGCTTGATGTCTCGGCGTCTTCCGCTGCCGACCAGAGAGTTCGTTCACGTGAGCTCTCGGGTATTTCACGAGTAGGGTACGTGTTCGAAAACTCTTTTTCGCATCGGAAATTTCGTCTAATTGAACTTCGGTTGGATGAGTTTAAAGTGGCAGAAGAGGGTGATATTTCGTCGTTAGACGAGAACTTTGAGATGTTGAAAAGCGTGCTCGTAGCAGAAATAACTGCGAATTCCGTAGGAGAGTTAGTTCGCTTTGCCGAAATTGAGTTGGATTTGAAGGGAGACGGTATTTCTGAAGGATAGTTTGATGATCCTGGTTTATTCGTATCACTGAAACCAACCAGCTAAGTGACAATATGATATAAGGACTCACTTTTGCAAAAAAGCGAAAGGAAATTTGGGAAATGAACTCATTTTGCGGTAAATTGAAAAAATGTTATCCTGGGAAACTTAATTATCGTCATCAGCTAAAAAATGTAAGAACAAAAGAGTAATCTTTCCGAGTATGTCTTAAGCAAGACAATTTAAGAAGCAACAGTTTTTCACTTTTTGGTTCAGTGAAAACAAAAATTTCAATAGATTTAAGGCGAATTAAGTTTGAAATTTGAATTTTTTAGCATAAACCAGCCTTTTTTGGATAAGTGAAAACGGCAGCGCTTGCGTCACAAATCCTAGTACTCGATTGCACGAACCTTTTCTTGCCCTTTTGCACCGCTTAAGATTATTAGTTTTTTCCCAGTCGGTATTTAAAGCTCATTTCACCCGCTTATCTGAACCATTTTAATAGACCTAATGCGTTTCGACTGAAACCCTTTTAAACAATTTTAAGACCCAATTTTTGATCAAATAATGTGCTTCTAATAGCCAACTTCACTTTTTAAACGTAATTTGGCATTTTCAAAATTTAATTCTTGATTAGAATCTCGATTTAGAAAATCTCTCACAAATCGCTTCACTGAAAACTTGTTTGACATTTGGATATTTTTGAGAAACAAAAAAAGTTGAATGAAGCAACAATAAATAAATATTGGATTCGAATTTGAGAAAAAATGCTTTTTAATTCGACTGTCAAAAAAAATCTTTTTAAAATTAGTTTACGATTAATCATAATCGTTCATTGAGTTGCGAAAATAAGGAAATCTCGGTCGCCCAGTATAAAGTTATAAGTCTGAATTAATAAATAATACCAAGTTTCACGGAACTTCAATACAGTTAAAACGCATTTGATTTGTTTCAGTTTATAAAATCGGCATTTGCAACCACCTGTCGAAAGCAACAGTTTTTCTTTGGAAAAAACTTTCCTTAAACACTGGACTGATAACCACTGCAATTCAAAAAATTAAACGTTCTTCTTACCTTAACAATTAAAAACGAAAATAAAAGGATTTGCTGGCGAAAATCTATTCTAGTTTTTGATGTTTGTTATTAAAGGTTCCTAGAATCGCTCGATTACCATCGATTATAGATAGTCTCTCTAAATCGGTCAGAAATGAAGAATTGACGTGTCAACCAACGTTTAGTCCACTGGTGATGACGTCGGTTGGAAAAAAGATAATTGAAGATTGCAAAAAATGGTCAGACAATTCGACTGATTATTTGAGCACAAAAGATTTGGATGAATTGATTTGAATAATGGAGCGGAATTTGTTCAAAAATGAATTAAATTTCAACGCCAGCCGCTTTTGTTCCAACGTGTACTTATTTTGAAGTGACGGGTGAGAACACCTAAGAAGAACAAATGATATTTTCTATTATATCAGCAAACCAAAAATTGCAAGCTGTAATAACTTTTTCTGACATTTTTTTCTTTCACAAAATTATTGTTCTAAAAGGTTGAAAAATACAAAGAAAAGTTATTTTAATTGGCATTAAAAAGTTACAGCAAGTTTTTTTTTACTGAATATATTAATCTAATGTTCAAACGTTCATAATATGCTGTCAACTCCCGACTAAAAGAACTGATCTTGAAGGACAGCCTGAATCTGAACCTGAACTTCCAACGCTGTAATTGAATGCGTTCGTCGACCAAAAAATCATAGTCTGGACAAAAACTTTTAGCGGTAGAAAAAGTCTAGAAATGTCAAATTTTGGTTGCTGTGAATACTCAAAGAACGGTTGTTAAACAAGAATCAATTCTCCTTGTTTATGTTTATAGTATTGTAAATAATATAGATAATTTTGTACTTAGAAATTGTCATGACAAATCTTTTCAATACAACTCAAATTTTTCATAAGTTGTGTCAGAGTGAATGAGAGTACATAGTGATAATCTATAACGGATTGGCAGGTCGGTCACGACCTTGATAAACAAAAAGGCAAATTAAGTTTAGCACGAATAGCTAGCACATTGATGACGTCATATGAACTAATGAATTACGCCATATCACATTTCCCCCTCTCGGGAAAAATTCAAACAGCGTTTGAATTTCTTTATAGTGATGAAAACAAAACAAATTTATGCCCTCACAAACAATAAACAATACGGCTTATAACAAATAAACAAACACTAGAGATTTTACAAATTAACTGATGTGACTTTTAGCGATGAACGGAAGTTTTGTAAGTTTGTATCGTAATCAAAAGTACGAAAGTTTTATTTGTCTGCCCGACGCAAAGGATGGTCAGAAGGACTCTTTTTAGGGAAGCGTGTAAATTTCCGATATAGGCCTTCGGAATTATCGGGAAGAACCACCCGAGACTGTCCTGCTTGGTTAATCGGTTCTGAGTCTGAATTAGCCACAACAAAGCGAACTTTCTTGTCGGGCGAAGCAGGAGTTGACGGAGGTGTAGACATCGACTGAGACTGAATAATATTCACAGAGTGTCTGATGGGGCTACCGTAAAATGTAGTCTGTTTTTTTTACGTCGAGAAGAGGCACGGGACGAATTCGAAATGGATGAGACATTTCCATCCGGTTCGGAAATTATGCCGGGACCGCCTTGGGTGGGAAAGCCCGATGCTGCCACATTTGAAGAAGTTCCTTCTTGAGATTTAGGAATTGAAGATTCATCATCTGACGAAATAGGGATGAGGTCTGGACATACTGGATTTTTAATGACTGAAATAGGTGACTTCGGTTTAATACTAATGGGGACCTCCGTTCCTTGATTGCCAGATGTGGAAGAAGATACTGTCAGGTCTACTACTGGAGTAGAATGCTGCGGAGAAGGGATGAACTGTACACCTGGAGCCTCCGAGACTGAAGATTGCTTCGATTTAGTCGACACAATTTGGCCACGCGATTGAGTAATTGAAGATGGCAGAGATGGGAACTTCGAATGAGCAGGGATCTGTAACGTTTTAGCTATGATGTGTTGACGAGAACTCGATTGTTTTGTTTTAGCTGTGATGTGTTGGCGAGAACTCGATTGTTTGAGTGGCCGATTATCTTCTGATGACGACGGAGAAGATGACACAATGGGGCGTTTCTGCCCCTTCTTGACAGGCGTAAGTTGTTTGCCTGAAAAACTTAGATCGGTTGATTTAAGACGTACCGCCAAATGATTTCTTCTAATCACTTTCCCCTTATCCGAAATATATGTGGACCCAGTAATCCGCACGATTTTGCCCTTAAAAGGTTTGAAAAGTTCTCGGCCAGACTTCCTATTTAGAAATTTCCTAAAAATTTCGACTTTAGTTGGTTCATTCAATACTAAATAATCCAAATTACGTTTTGGTAACGACGGGCGAATTTGATCCAACTGCATCTGATTCCTAAATCTAAGGGTACCAGCTGACAAATTAGAGCGAAGGGTGGCTGCGAGGACTTGATTTCTCTCCGTCAACGTCTTCAAAGCTTTGACTCCCTCCTGGTGGGACAATGACTTTTTCAATGTCAACCACTGATTGGCGGAATGTGCCAGGTTCTCCAGAGCGCGGTAAGGAGGAGTGTCTGAAAGTGAATCCGTAGATCCACCAAAGTATGGAGACACCGTCGGGCTTGACTGCCCCTTCCTGACCATTTTTATCCTCGGTCGGCTATCGCACTGCTCCCGACGCTGTTCGGGTGTTAAAATGTCCCTTTCCAATTGTTGGTTATCTAAATTAACGCCCGTAGATAAACGCTCAGCCGCAATGGATAGCTCCGTATTCGGAGGACGGCCATAATGAAGCTCAAACGGGGAAACCCCAGTAACAGAATTTTTTGTAATCCGAATATCTTCAATAATATTTCTAAGAGTATCTTGAATATTTGAAAAATCCGAACTTAACCGCGAGGCGCCTAAACGACGTTTAATTGTTTGAATCGACCTTTCTACTAAACCGCAACCACGATGGTCCCCCACCGGGCAGAAATATTTTGCAATATTTTTCTCTTGACAAAAATTTTGCACTAATTTGTTCTTAAAACCAGAGTATTGGTCAGTTTTGATAGATTTGGGGATACTGTGCTGTTGAATAGACGATTTAAGAAATTTAATAATCTTCCGTCCTCCCGTAGAACGCGTAATCATAGCTGACGGATATTTTGAGTAACGGTCGATCGCGACCAAGATATACATACTGTTACCAAACGAATCAAGTAGAGGACCCGCGTAATCGAGCTGCAGCTCTTCATTAGGGCCAGACAAAAGGGGTAAAGGCTTGGAAGAGTTAAATGAAGCGTTCGCTTTCAAATTCTTACCAAACTTTGTGCATTGGGGACAATCTTTGCAAAGCTGGACGATATCTCGATGCATTCGGGGCCACCAGATATATTGCGCAGCATCAACCATGGCCAACTGACACGCATGCGACCTATGCAGTCGAGACAATAATGGTTTTCGTAGGCACATGGGTATAGCGATCCTATTATCTACAACAATACAGCCATCAGCCACCGCTGCACAATGCCAAAAGGATTTTATATAGGAATCTATACGACAAAATCCTTCGTAGTCCCGATTAATGATCGCTCGTTTCATGAGGCATAGACTGGCATCTTCGTCCGTAAGTTCCGACAGTACATCGGAGTCCAAGATGCCCACCAAACCGGTTAACGATTTCTGGTCCTTGGCGACCACTGGTGACTTCAATATTTCTAAACTATGTACTGATTGAGATTGCCGATTCGATACAGTAGTTTTCCTGGCCCTTTTTGTCCTGAAGTTTGCTAATATACGGGCATACTGACTCTTCAACTCCACTCCGCGTTGCAATGTTGTCGATCTTCTGGGACGTACAACCCCCACGCGAAACCGCGGCCGAGCCCTATCAGAGGAAAACCAAGGTTGAGTAGCTGGGAGATACTGGTTTAAAAGCTGTTCGAAGCTGTCATTTGGGTTGTTGTTGGTACTGGTATTAGAATCCATAGCTGTCTGAAATTGGAAAACACCCAATAAAACGATTG